TCTCCCTTTTCGCTGTTCTCTCTTACTGTCCCGCTCGGTTTGCTTCTCTCTTTCAGCCCCTTCTCAGTCCCTCTATCTTCTTTTTTTTTTTTATTTTTAATAATAATGAAAAAACTTTCAGAGTTTAAAAAATATATATTTGTAGTCACTGCTACACGTGTTTCGGTACACAGTACCGTCTTCAGGCAGAAGAGAAACTGGGGTTTTACAGAGCTATTCCTGAATTTATACCTGATTTAACAATGGTGTTTTCAAATTTATGTTAAGTAAGGGAGATTTGTTTATTTCGGTTTGGTCGTTCATTAGTGTATTTAATTTATTGTACCTATTTATTTCCAGACATTCTAACGCGTTTAATTTTGCGCCTTTATTTTCTATGTGTAAAATTTTGAATTCGTCGTTGAAATTATGCTGTTCTTGGATAAGGTGGTTCGCGTACGTAGAATTTGATTTTTTTTTTTTTTTTTAAATCAGCATTTGTCAACAAAAAATCAAATTCTACGTACGCGAACCACCTTATCCAAGAACAGCATAATTTCAACGACGAATTCAAAATTTTACACATAGAAAATAAAGGCGCAAAATTAAACGCGTTAGAATGTCTGGAAATAAATGGGTACAATAAATTAAATACACTAATGAACGACCAAACCGAAATAAACAAATCTCCCTTACTTAACATAAATTTGAAAACACCATTGTTAAATCAGGTATAAATTCAGGAATAGCTCTGTAAAACCCCAGTTTCTCTTCTGCCTGAAGACGGTACTGTGTACCGAAACACGTGTAGCAGTGACTACAAATATATATTTTTTAAACTCTGAAAGTTTTTTCATTATTATTAAAATTAATATGGAGTTTAAACACGTATCAGCCTCATCAATACAAACCCTCTATCTTCCTTTTTACCCATTCTTTATCCTAATTTTTGCCCGTCCTTTGCCTTATTTGTCTTTGTCCCATCTATCTTTGTCCATCAGTTTCTGTCTTATTTCTTTCTCCTCTATTTCTGTCTGTTCTCTTTATCACGCCCTTTCTCTTTTAGTCTTCTTTCCCTCTACATAGCATGTATCATATTTTTTTTGCTCGTAACAACTAAACTCTTTTGCTGCGAGAATCGACTCTAAATCTCCGCTTCCAGATCTACCGCTACCTCCGCGTCTTCGACGTCAACTCGGGCTTCGTGATCGAGCCCTGCTTCCGGTACTCGCTCGAGGGCCAAAAGGGCGCGAAAATATCGTCGACGAAAAAATGGTACAAGAACGAGAAGATCGAGTGTTTGGTCGGTTGCATAGCCGAACTGACCGAAGAGGAAGAGAAGCAGCTCCTCCATCCCGGCAAGAACGACTTCTCGGTGATGTACAGCTGCCGGAAGAACTGCGCCCAGCTGTGGCTCGGACCGGCTGCCTACATCAACCACGACTGCAGGGCGAACTGCAAGTTCGTCGCCACGGGCAGGGACACCGCCTGCGTCAAGGTAACGCAAACATTCGAGAATTTCGAAAACTACAGCCGCTTGATGTTTAGGTCCTGCGCGACATCGAGGTGGGCGAGGAGATCACGTGCTTCTACGGGGAGGACTTCTTCGGCGACAAGAACTGCTACTGCGAGTGCGAGACGTGCGAGCGGCGCGGTACGGGCGCGTTCGCGAAAGAGACGGACAAGAAGGAGGAGAACGGCTACCGTTTGCGCGAGACCGACAACAGGATCAATCGAACTAAGCAGAAGATCCGGTGCAACAACAACAAGGAGGAGTTCGGTCGCGCCGAGGAGAAGATCGTGGCGCCGTTGAGCATGAAGGAGTTGCGGCAGAAGGGACTGACGAAGTACGACGCGGAGCTGCTGATCGCGCAGGGGTGCAAGTTCTCGGACATTGGGGAGTTCCAGAGGAAGAACAGTGCGGGGAGTGTCGGGGGCAAGGAGGACGACGCCAAGAAACCGGAGGTGAAAAAATCTGTGATAAGTGAGGATAAGCAGGCGGTCAGTTCGAGGACTTCGCGCTTGCAGCGGCGGCAAGCGCGACAAGCGAACCAGGAGCTCATGCAGAGCGCCGCGCACAGCGTTTCGAGGTCGAATCTGCTGGATGATCTGCAGAGCAACGCGAGTAGTTGTATGAGTTCGTATAGTGATCAGGACCCGGTGTGCGACGCCACGCAGCAGAATAAGAAGTTCAACGACAAGCACGAGAGCGGCAAGGGGGTTCCTTCGGGGGCAGGTGAGTAGCGGTAGTCGTAGTACAGTCTAATACCACTAGGCGACATGAGTTTTCTAATAGTATTTTTTTCTAATTGTATCAAGTAACATAGTCCTACATGTGTAGTTTATGAATCCGTGTTGAGTTTTTACCAGAGACATCCAGATTTTTGAAAAACAATCAAAATTGTATTAACAAAATTTTGCAATTTAAATTTGCAAAATAAAATTTTATAATTTTTCGAAAAAGCTGGATAGGTTTTATCGTAATTCTGGGGCGAGGGAAATTTTGTCGAAATACCCTTCAACCAATTTTTTATGTAAAAAAAATATAATTTCAACTAAATGGCTAATTTTTAAATTTTCAACTGATTTTTACTTCCTCACGTTTTCGATGTTTCAATTTTGGGATTTTTCAGTTTTTCCATTCTTCAGTTTTTCTTCAATTTTTCGCATCTTCAATTCTCGATTTTTCAGATTTTCGAGGTCTCAATTTTCCGATAGTTCAGTTTTAGGATTTTCCAATTTTTTTGATTTCTCGATTTTTAGATTTTTTGTTTTTTTGATTTCTCCATTTCTTGATTTTCGATTTTTCGACTTCGATTTTTCGATAGTTTAGTTTTATGAATTTCCAATTTTTCATTTTTTGGCATTTCCAAATTTTCGATTTCTCGATTTTCAGTTTTTTGATTTTTCAGCTTTCTTGATTTCTCGATTTTTCGACTTTTACATTTTTCGATGTTTTGGTTTTTCGATTTTTCCATTTTTCCATTTTTCGATTCTCAATTCTTCAGTTTTTCATTTTTTTGATTTTTCAATTTGTTAAGTTTTCGGTTTTTCGATATTTTTAACTTGACGATTTTTCGATTTTTTGATATTTCAGTTTATTTCGTTTCGATTTTTCTTTTTTTTTTTTTTGTTTCTCGACAATTTTTCCCTTCTTCAATTTCTCGATTTTTCAAATTTTCGATTTGTCGATTTTTTAATTTTTCGATTTCTCAATTTTCCGATAGTTCGGTTCTACGATTTTTCATTTTTTGACATTTCTAAATTTTCGATTTTTCGAGTTGTTGATTAGTTTTTCGGTTTTTCAGCTTTTTCGATTTCCTGATTTTTCGACTTTTAGATTTTTCGATTCTTTCTTTCTCGATGTCTCCATTTTTCGATTCTCGATTTTTCAGTTTTTCAGTTCTTCAATTTTCATATTTTTGATTTTTCAGTTTTTCAAGTTTTATGGTTTTTTGATTTTTTTAACTTAACGATTTTTCGACTTTTCGATATTTCAGATTTGGAACTTCGATTTTTGTTTTTTTTTTTGATGTTTCGATTTTTCAATTTTTTGTTTTTCAATATTTTGATATTTCACTTTTTGGTTAAAAAATCAAAAGTGAAATATCAAACAATTTAAAAAAAATCAAAGATTAAAAAAAATCTTGGATTTTTCAGTTTTTTAATTTTGATTTCTTGATTTCTTAATTTTTCGCCATTTCAGATTTGGGATTCTTCAATTTTTCCTCGATTATTCAGTTTTTCGCTTCTTCAATTTCTCGATTTCCCAAATTTTCCCAATTTTTAAATAGTTCAGTTTTGCGATTATCCAGCTTTTCATTTTTTGGCTTTTCCATATTTTAGATTTTTGATGTCTCAATATTTCGACGTTCCAGTTTTGGGATTTTTAAATTTTTGCATTCTTCAGTTATTCTTCAATTTTTCGCTTCTTCGGTTTCGCGATTTTTCAAATTTCCGATTTATGGATTTTCCAATTTTTCATTTTTTGTCATTTCCAAATTTTCGATTTTTCGATTTCTCGATTAATTAGTTTTTCGGTTTTTCAACTTTTTTGATTTCTCGATTTTTCCATTTTTCACTTCAGTTTCTCGATTTTTCAAATTTTCACTTTTTGGCATTTCTAAATTTTAGATTTTTCGATCGGTTTTTCAGTTTTTCAACTTTTTTGATTTCTCCATTTTTCGTTCAATTTTTCGATTTTAAAAATTTTCAGGTTTTTAATTTTTCAATTTTTTAAGTTTTCGGGTTTTCGATTTTTTTTTGACTTGACGATTTTTTTTCGAATTTTTTTATAGTTTAGGGATTTTTCAAGTTTTTGATTTTCGATTTTTCGACTAGATTTTTCCATTTTTTGGGTTTTCGATTTTTCCATGTTTCGATTTTCGATGTTGGAGCTTTTCAGTTCTGCAATTTTTAAAATTAGCAGGTTTTTTTTTAATTTTTCGAATTTTTAAGTTTCCGGTTTTTCCATTTTTTTGACTTGACGATTTTTCGATATTTCAGTTTTGGGATTTTTCAATTTTTCCATTCTTCAGTTTTTCTTCTATTTTCAATTTTTCAATTTTTCGCATCTTCAATTTCTCGATCTTTCAAATTTTCGATTTCTCAATTTTCCGATTTTCTAATTTTTCTATTTTTGAACATATCTTAATTTTCGAGTTTTTGATTTCTCGATTAATCAATTTTTTGGTTTTCCGATTTGTCCATTTTTCGATTCTCGATTTTTCAGTTTTTAATTTTTCGATTTGCTCATTTTTTGATTCTCAATTTTTCAGTTTTTCGATTTTTTAGGTTTTCGATTTTTCAATTGTTCGATGTTTCAGTTTTGGCATTTTTCCATTTTTCCATTCTTCAATTTCTCGATTTTTCAAATTTTCGGTATCTAAATTTTCCGATGGTTTAGTTCTAAGATTTTCCAATTTTTCAATTTAATGTATTTGAATTTTCGAATTTTTGGATTTCTTGATTAATCAATTTTTCGGTTTTTCAACTTTTCAATTTTTTGACTTTTACATTTTTCAGTTTTTCAATTTTCATTTTTTCAGGGTTTTGATTTTTCAATTTTCCAAGTTTTCAATTGTTTGGTTTTCTGATTTGCTCATTTTTTGATTCTCAATTTTTCAGTTTTTCGATTTTTTGATTTTTCAGGTTTTTGATTTTTCAATTTTCCAAGTTTTCAATTTTTTAGTTTTCCGATTTGTCTATTTTTCGATTCTCGATTTTTCAGTTTTTCAATTTTTCGATTTTTCAGGTTTTTGATTGTCCAATTTTCCAAGTTTTCAAATTTTTGGTTTTCCGATTTGCTCATTTTTTGATTCTCAATTTTTCAGTTTTTCGATTTTTTAGGTTTTCGATTTTTCAATTGTTCGATATTTCAGTTTTGGGATTTTTCCATTTTTCCATTCTTCAATTTCTCGATTTTTCAAATTTTCGATATCTCAATTTTCCGATGGCTTAGTTTTAAGATTTTCCAATTTTTCAATTTTTGGCATATGTATTTGAATTTTCGAGTTTTTGATTTCTCGATTAATCAATTTTTCGGTTTTTCAACTTTTCCGATTTTTTGACTTTTAAATTCTTCAATTTTTTGGTTTTCCGATTTATTCATTTCTCGGTTCTCGATTTTTCAGTTTTTCAATTATTCGATTTTTCAGGGTTTTGATGTTTCAATTTTCCAAGTTTTCAATTTTTTGGTTTTCCGATTTGCCCATTTTTTGATTCTCAATTTTTCAGTTTTTCGATTTTTTAGGTTTTCGATTTTTCAATTTTTCCATTCTTGAGTTTTTCTTGGATTTTTTAATTTTTTGCTCTTTCAATTTCTCGATTTTTCAAATTTTCGATTTCTCAATTTTCCGATGGTTTATTTTTAGGATTTTCCAATTTTTCATTTTTTGGCATACAGAGTCATCAAAATTGATTGAGAGAGTTGGTAAACCTGAACTTGAATAATTTGGTTTATTAAGTTGTATAAAAATATTAGCTGTCAGATTTGAAGTTTCAAGTTTCAAATTTCAAAACTCAGTGGCGTCTTTTTTCGACTTTTTTTGTGGTAAAAACATAAGTTGTCAGATTTGAAGTTTCTAATTTTTGTCACGCCACTGAATTCATTGCCATATAACCTTAAACAAATCTGTCATAAGGTTGACAAACTTCACGACAGAAACAGGGGGTACCAACTCTCTCAATCAATTTTGATGACCCTGTATTTTAAGTTTCGAGTTTTTGATTTCTCGATTAATCAATTTTTCGGTTTTTCAACTTTTCGATTTTTTGACTTAAACTTTTCAGTTTTTTGGTTTTCCGATTTGTCCATTTCTCGGTCCTCGATTTTTCAGTTTTTCAATTTTCAATTTTTCAGGTTTTTGATTTTTCAATTTTCCAAGTTTTCAATTTTTTAGTTTTCCGATTTTTCAGGTTTTTGATTGTTCAATTTTTTGGCTTTCCGATTTGCTCATTTTTTGATTCTCAGTTTTTCAGTTTTTCGATTTTTTAGGTTTTCGATTTTTCAATTGTTTAATATTTCAGTTTTGGGATTTTTCTATTTTTCCATTCTTCAATTTCCCGATTTTTTTAATTTTCGGTATCTCAATTTTCCGATGGCTTAGTTCTAGGATTTTCCAATTTTTCAATTTTTGGCATATTTGAATTTTCGAGTTTTTGATTTTTCGGTTTTTCAAGTTTTCGATTTTTTGACTTTTAGATTTTTCAGTTTTTCAATTTTTCGATTTTTCAGGCTTTTGTTTTTGGCTTTTGTTTCAATTTTCTAAGTTTTCAATTTTTTGGTTTTCCGATTTGCCCATTTTTTGATTCTCAATTTTTCAGTTTTTCGTTTTTCTAGGCTTTCGATTTTTCAATTTTTCCGTTCTTCAGTTTTTCTTGAATTTTTTAATTTTTTGCTTCTTCAATTTCTCGATTTTTCAATTTTCCGATGGTTTAGTTTTAGGATTTTCCAATTTTTCAATTTTTAGCATATTTGAATTTTCGAGTTTTTGATTTCTCGATTAATCAATTTTTCGGTTTTTCAACTTTTCGATTTTTTGACTTTTCAATTTTTCAGTTTTTTGGTTTTCCGATTTGTCCATTTCTCGGTTCTCGATTTTTCAATTTTTTATTTTTTCAGGTTTTTGATTTTTCAATTTTCCAAGTTTTCAGTTTTTTGCTTTTCCGATTTGCCAATTTTTGGTTCTCAATTTTTCAGTTTTTCTTCGAATTTTCAATTTTTCGCTTGCTTAATTTCTCGATTTTTCAAATTTTCGATTTGTCGATTTCTTTATTTTAGTAATTTTTTAGTAATTTAGTAATTTCTCAATTTTCCCATAGATCAGTTTTACGATTTTTCGATTTTTCAATTTTTGGCATTTCCAAATTTTGATTTTTCGATTTCTGAATTAATTAATTTTTCGGCTTTTACACTTTTCGATTTTTCGACTTTTAAAATTTTTCAATTTTTTTGGTTTTACAATTTGCCCATTTTTTGATTCTCAATTTTTCAGTTTCCCATTTTTTTAATGTTTCCGCTTTTCAATTATTCCATTCTTCAGTTCTTTTTCGATTTTTCAATTTTTCGCTTTTTCAATTTTTTGATTTTTCAAATTTTCGATTTCTCAATTTTTCAAATTTTCGATTTCTCAATTTTTCAAATTTTCGATTTCTCAATTTTCCAAATTTTCGATTTTTCAATTTTCCGATCGTTCAATTCTACGATTTTCCAATTTTTCAATTTTTGGCATATGTATCTAAATTTTCGAGTTTTCGATTTCTCGATTAATCAATTTTTCGGTTTTTCAATTTTTCGATTTTTTTTATTTAAATTTTTTAATTTCTTGATTTTTCGATTTGTCCATTTTTTTACTCGATGATTATTCGATTTATCAGTCTTTCGATATTTCAGTTTTGGAATTTTTCAATTTTTCGATTGTTCGGACTTTGTTCCGATTTTTCGTTTTTTTTTTATGCTTTGACTTCTCGATTTTTCTGTTTTTCGATTTTTTTTATTTTTCATTTTTCGATTTTTTTTATTTTTCGATTTTTCGATTTCTCAATTTTCTTTAACACCAATAAAGGATTGATTTTTTGACGTTTCATTTTTGGGATTTTTGAATTTTTCGATTTACAAATTTTTCGATATTTCGGTTTTACGATTTTTCCGTTTTTGGTAATTCTGAATTTTCGATTTTTCGGTTAATCAATTTTTAATCAGTTTTTCGTTTTTTCAAATTTTCGATTTCTCAATTTTCGATTCTGGATTTCTCGATTTTTCAGTTTTTCAATTTTTCAACTTTTTGATTTTTCAGATTTTAGTTTTCGGTTTTTGAATTTTTCGACTTGACGATTTCCGACTTTTCGGCTTATAGATTTTTCGATTTTTTGATTTTTTCCATTTCTCGATTTTTCGAATTTTTTTAAAATCGTTAATCAAAATTTATTCGTTTATCCCTCCCAAAAAATTGATGACGTCATCTCAAAATTTTTTCGAATAAATCCTCTTAAATATGCAGAAATTATGACTCAAGCGGGATTATTAACAATATTTAACTGTTGGCGATCAAAAATGTGATAAAATGTCGCCTAGTGTAATCGTTTTAACAATGAGTAACCATATCCTAATCAGTAGCAGAGACACTTCCAGAGCGTCCCCCGACGCCGTCGCCGTCGCCCGAGAACGGCATCACCCTCCGCAGCCACAAATGCCTGGCGTCGGAGAAGCCGGTCGAGGCGGCCATGCCGAAGCTCGAGCCGCAGGTCGAGTGTCACTTCAACGGCGTCGAGAAGGCCATCAAGCCCGGCCGCATCAAGACCCGCCACTCGTCTCGCCTCACCAAACCCGCCAATATCACTGCCAATAGCGACAAAGACGTATACGAGTTCGACGACGAGGAGACCAAGACGGACTCGCTGTGCCTGCGCAGGAGCAAGAAGGAGGCGAACGGGGACAAGGAGGAGCCCGAGCCCGTCGAGGAGAAGCCCGACGACAATCAGAACGAGTGGACCGTGAAGATGGAGCCGCCGTACGCGCCAGAGCCGGGCCAGGGCGAGAAGACGCCCGAGAAGTGCGGGCGCTTGAAGCTCACGCTGCGGATGAAGCGCAGTCCGGTCCTGGACGAGGTCATCGAGTCCGGGAACAGCCTGAGCGAGGACAGCTTCGAGCCGGAGTACGAGGTCCTGCGGGTGGAGGGGGTGGAGTACACGCCCTACTCCCACAGGAAGAAGCGGCACAAATCGAAGGACCGGCGGCGGGAACGCAAGCTGAAGCAGGCGGAGGAGGTGGCGGTGACGGAGGTGACGCACTTACCGCTGAAGAGGCTAAGGTTAATTTTTGGGAACGAGAGTCACACGATCAATATCCCGTCCACTAGTGAAGAAGATTGTCAGGATTGTCAAACATGACTTTGCGTTTCTGACAACACGCGATTCCTTACTTAGTTTTAATTTTTTACGCACTGTACAGGAGTTCTTTTTATTATTTATTTATTTTTACTAATCGTCGATGTTTTATGTTTTACTAACTGTTGATTTTGTGTTGGGTTGGCGGCGCTCACGCTTCGGCGGGGGCGGCTCGTGAAAAGGTGAAGATAAATCGTAAACAAAAAGAAAAAACGAAAAAAATAGTGTACACGTTGTTTTATTGATTTTATTATTGTTGTTTTTAATAACTTAGGGAAAATCTGATTTTCCGCACTGCCTCAGGACAAGCCGCCTGAAGTCAAGTGCGCATGCGCATCGATCTCAGGCGATTTTTAATTATTTTTATACACGGGTTTAGCTGGTTTTAACCGAACGCGTGTCCAGTGGGCTGGGACGGTATGCATGAGGTGGTTCTAGGGGAATTTCGTGCGATGCTAAACTTAAAGTTGCACGACCCTAAATCGAACTGCAGTATTAGTTTCTACTGAAATGGTCATCAGAGATTAAACTAATGACTTCCTAGTCTATGCCGTGTCTGCGGAGAGGGGACAGCTCGGTGTAGGTTAGGTGGCAATTAGTACGCTAGTCAGTCTTGCAATTTTCGGTGTCGCGGGGATAATACGTGTTTGTGTGATTGATGAATGAGTGACAGTGATGAACGTTTCGACTTGTACGAAGCGTGGGCGCCGCTGTTTAAATCAATAGACCGCTGTGATTCAGATTGTTAATAGAGATAACAAAAGTGTAAAATGTCTACAAGAATTGTTTTATATGTGCTTTATTTCAGAATCACCCGGCGTCAAGCAAGAGAGTTTCGTTGTATTTGCTGTAGGAGGATGAGTTAGGTAGATAATACTTAGGAAATTGCCTCGTGCTCCCGTAACTACAAGAAATACAAAAAAGAACCATTCCATAAGAGATCATTAATTTATTTTATTTATGTATTATGTTGCGTACCGTCACAGATCTTGACTTAGAGTAATTGATTTCGATAGGTGCACACACGTTTAGTTTCTGACTATGTTCATTTTTGCAAGCATTTTATCGAGTGTGGATATACCTCTCATAGCGGTATATTGCGTTTTTAGATAAATTCTTGTTGAAATTTACTGTTGAAATTTTATAATATCTGTGGAAAGTGTATGCATCTGTGAATATATTCGCTGTATTGGCCGTTCTGAGCCGGACCGCCTCTATGAGCATTGGATAAGTGCATATTGCACGCTACTTGTAAATATATTTGTAATATGTACCGATAAGGATTATGCATTACTTAAATTTACCTCATGTTTATATGAAAAACACGATCATTTCTTACATTTTTTCGGAGTTTAACCCATTGAGTTCCTATGCTCCCCCGTTTCATTCATCTTCGCGCGGAATTATCATGCTGTACGTGGTGGGGTGCGAAATTGGATGTATATTCGTAAGTCTGAGATGTATCAATGTAAGAAATGATAAACGGTGTACTAAAAGTAAATAAAAGTTTTATAAAATCACGCGTGCTTGTTTTAGAGGCGAAAATTGGCCGACCAGTGAACGATGGGTTTTTCTCGGCCAATTTTCGTCTGCAAAATGTGCAGTCATTTATTTTATACCTTGACTAAATATAAAGTTTTTTTATTCATTAATAAAATCACGTGATTTTGCATATTTCTTTTTTTTTTCGAATGACTAATTGCTGCGCCATTTACGCGTCCGTTGATAAAATTGGTGATGAAATACATCTGGCAACGTTGCATAAATGTTATCTTATTAAAATCAAAATATACCACAAAGTAATTCAGCATACTTTGAACAAATTAATTATACCTTTTAAACCAATAATTAGTTACAAACAAACCCTGAAACTCAAGAATTAACATTAGTTGTGAAGATAGGCACTATTTCTCCATCGATGTATATCGGGTTGCCGACCATTTCCAAACATCCGTTTAATTGGGTGCTTCTAGCTCGCAGTTAATTTAATTCTGATATTAATATTACTAATCTGATTATTGTCTTATTATTTAAACATTTTATTCTAGTTTCAGTTTTAATTATTTTTGGTTGGTAACAACTTTGACAGACCGAGCCAACTTCAAAACTATGCTTGTTCAAAATGGTGTATGTTGTGTTTTGAGCGTATTTTTCATAGAAAAATCGTGTTCAGGTAGGATTTTATTTAAGTTTACCATCTTTTATCGACTTTAAAACGTTTTGCCGACATTTTTACGAAGAATTGCGATAATTTCAAGAAACGGATTTTTTTGTGATTCGGGATTTTTGACTTCCAAGACTATCTTTTCTACATTTAGTATTTTTTTTTTAGTTTAAGTTTTTAAAAGTTGTTCGTTTAAATAGGATATTGTTAAGACGTGTAAAATTTTATAGATAATAAAGTTTTCTTGTTGTTGTTTTAAAGAAGAGGAGAGCCATTGCTACAATTGTAGCAGAAGCAGAAGCCTCTAAGTAGTAAGTATTTCTATTATTGCCTTACGTTTCAAAGAATTGTTATAATTTTGGTATCGATAGCCGCGTTTTGTTCGATTAATGATGAATTTGAATTGATATTGATTTTAGTTATGCAACCAACAATTCACATCTTACACCTAATAAATTTTATTGTTAACTTTGGTCATTGAGTCGTTTCTCTTTGATTTGCTATAATTTTGGAAACATATTTCCATGATTTAAAATCGTTTTGTTGAATCAATTTTCTTTGTTGCTACAATTAACTTGATGTTATAGCTTATGCAACCAAAAATGCATACAGAATGTTTTAATGATTCTGCAAGATGTCATAATTCCTTAAACATTCGGGTAGAATAAAACGGGCAATCCGAACATAAAACAAGAGGAAACCAAGGAATTAAATATCTAAAAATTATCTTCTATTTATGTTCTATAATTTCAATTTTGGGACTTTTAAATACTTCGACTTTAAAATTTTTTGATTTCTCGACTTTACGTGTTTTTGATTTTTTACTTCTTTGATTTTTCTAAATCTTATATTTTTCGATTCTTCAGGTTTTTGATTTTTCGATTTGTTGATTGCTTGATTCTTGAAATTTCCAATTTTTCGAATTTTTAAATTTTAGATTTTTCACTTTTTTGTTGTTTTGATTTCTCAGTCCTTCGATTCTTCGCGTACTTCTTTTTAGAACTATCGATTTAACGGTTTTCTCTCGATTTTTCGCCTTCTCGTTTTTAGATTTTCCCGTTTTTAGAATGTTTCGAAATTAATTTTCGGTGTTTCTATTTTTCACTTTTTTGGTTTGTCGATTTTTTACATTCAAATTTTTCAATTTTGAATTTTCCTATTCTTTGATTTTTAGCCACATCCATTTCTCAAATTTTCGACTTCTCGATCTTTTGATGTTTCGATTTCGCGATTTTTCAATTTTCGGATTTCGATTTCTCCATTTTTTGATAATTCATCTTATTGATTTTCTAATTTTTCAACGTTTCAGTTTTGGGATTTATGTATTTAAATTTTTAGATCTTTCGACTTTCTATTTTTTTTATTTTTTTCCTTATTCGATTTTTCAAAATTTTGCAACTTTTTAAATCTTACATTATTCGATATTTTAATTTTTTGAAATTTTGATTTTTCGATTTTGTAAATTTTCAATTATTCGAATTTTTTGTTTCGATTTCTCAGTCTTTCAATTTTTTGCCTTCTCATTTCTAGATTATTCGATTTTTCAGTTTTTTGGAATTAATTTTTCACTCTTTCGATATTTCGAATTTTCAGTTTTCGATTTAACTTTTTTCTTTTGACTTTTAACCTTCTCGTTTTTAGATTTCAGGTTTTTCAATTATTCGGAATTAATTTTTCAGTTTTTCGATGTTCCGATTTTTCACTTTTTCGGTTTATCGGTTAAAATTTTTCAATTCTGAATTTTCCGATTTTTCAATTTTTAACCAATACCATTTCTTAATTTTTCGGTTTTTCGACTTTTCGACTTCTCGATCTTTTGATGTTTTGATGTCCCGATTTTCCAATTTTTCCACGTTTCAATTTTGGAACTTATGTATTTAAATTTTTCGATTTTTCAAATTTTCAATTTTTGGATTTTTCGAATCTTTCAATTTCCCCATTAGTGGATTTTTAAATTTTTTGTCTTTTAGATTTTTCGTCTTTCCGATTTCTCAGTTTGTCGATTTCCCAAATTTTCAATGTTTAAGTTTTGGAATTTTTTTAATCTGTATTTCAATTTTTAAATTTTTAGATTTTTCGACTTTTTGTTTTTTTGATTTTTTACTTATTCGATTTTTCAAAATATTGCAACTTTTTATATCTTACATTTTCCGATTTTTCAGTTTTTGATTTTTCGATTTGTTGACGTTTTGATTCCTCGATTTTTGAAATTTTCAATTTTTTCGAATTTATAAATTTTACATTTTTCATTTTTTTGTTGTTTCGATTACTCAATCCTTTGATTTTTTGCCTACTTCTTTTTAGATTTTTCGATTTTTCAATTTTTGATTTAACGGTTTTCTCTCGATTTTTCGGTTTCTTGTATTTAGATTTCCCGGTTTCTTGTATTTAGATTTTCCGGTTTTTCAGTTTTTCGGAATTAATTTTCCATGTTTCGATTCCCCACTCTTTTGGTTTGTCAGTTTTTTAAATCAAAACTTTTTAATTTTCCGATTTCGATTTCTCAGGTTTTCCATAATTCATCTTTCGATTTTCCAATTTTTCAACGTTTCAGTTTTGGGATTTATGTATTTAAATTTTTCGATTTTTCAATTTCTCAATTTCCAGGATTTTTCGATTTCTCAATTTCTCCATTACTGGGTCTTTAAATTTTTTGAATTTTAAATTTTTCTTCTTTCCGATTTCTCAGTTTTTCGATTTCCCAAATTTTCAATGTTTAAGTTTTGGGATATTTATTAATGTGTATTTCGATTTTAAATTTTTAGACTTTTCGACTTTCTGTTTTCTTGATTTTTTACTTATTCGACTTTTCAAAATATTGCGACTTTTTAAATTTTACATTTTTCGATTTTTTAATTTTTTGATATTTTGATTTCGCGATTTTGTAAATTTTCAATTTTTCGAATTTTGAAATTTTAAAGTTTTCACTTTTTTGTTGTTTCGATTTCACAGTCTTTCGATTTTTTGCCTTCTCATTTTTAGATTTTTCGATTTTTCAATTTTTTGGAATTAATTTTTCACTCTTTCGATATTTGGAATTTTCAATTTTCGATTTAACTTTTTTCTTTTGACTTTTAACTTTCTCGCCTTTAGATTTTCCGGTTTTTCAGTTTTTCCATGTTTCAATTTTTCACTTTTGCGGTTTATCCGTTTTTTAAGTTAAAACTTTTCAATTTTGAATTTTCCGATTTTTCAATTTTTCGGTTTTTCGACTTTTCGACTTCTCGATCTTTTGATGTTTTGATTTCGCGATTTTTCAATTTTTCGATTTTACAATTTTTCCACGTTTCAGTTTTGGGATTTATGTGAGGATTTCAATTTTTCGATTTTTAAATTTCTCAATTTTTGGATTTTTCAATTTCTCAATTACTGGATTTTTAAATTTTTTGAATTTTAGATTTTTCTTCTTTCCGATTTCTCAGTTTTTCGATTTCCCAAATTTTCAATGTTTAAGTTTTAGGATTTTTTAAATGTTTATTTCGATTTTTAAATTTTTAGACTTTTCGACTTTCTGTTTTTTTGATTTTTTACTTATTCGACTTTTCAAAGTATTGCGACTTTTTAAATTTTACATTTTTTCGATATTTCAGTTTTTTTGACGTTTTATTCCTCGTATTTTGAAATTTTCAATTTTTCGAATTTTTGAAATTTTAGATTTTTCATTTTTTTTTTTTATTTTTTTCGATTTGACGGTTTTCTATCGATTTTTCGGCTTCTCGTTTTTAGATTTCCTGGTTTTTCAGTTTTTCGGAATTAATTTTTCATGTTTCGATTCTCCATTCTTTTGGTTTGTTGGTTTTTTTAAATTAAAATTTTTCAATTTTCCGATTTCGATTTCTCAGTTTTTCGATAATAATTCATCTTTTTGATTTTCCAATTTTTCGACGTTTCAGTTTTGGGATTTATGTTTTTTTATTTTTGGATTTTTCAATTTCTCAATTTTTGGATTTTTCGATTTCTCAATTTCTCCATTAATGGATTTTTAAATTGTTTGACTTTTAGATTTTTCCTCTTTCCGATTTCTCAGTTTTTCGATTTCCCAAATTTTCAATGTTGAAGTTTTGGGACTATTTAATGTGTATTTCGATTTTTAAATTTTTAAACTTTTCGATTTTCTGTTTTTTGATTTTTTACTTATTCGACTTTTCAAAATATTGCGACTTTTTAAATCTTACATTTTTCGATTTTTCGATTTGTTGACGTTTTGATTCCTCGATTTTAGAAATTTTCAATTTTTCGAATTTTTAAATTTTTGATTTTTCACTTTTTTGTTGTTTCGATATCTCAATATTTCGATTTTTGCCTAATTCTTCTTAGATTTTTTGATTTTCCAATTGACGGTTTTTTCTCGATTTTTCGGCTTCTCGTTTTTAGATTTTCCGGTTTTTCAGTTTTTCGGAATTAATTTTCGATGTTTCGATTTCCCCATGTTTCGGTTTTTAGCCACTTCCACTTCCAGAATTTTCGACTTTTCGATTTTTCGATCTTTTGATGTTTCGATTTCGCAATTTTTCAATTTTTTGATTTCGATTTCTCAGTTTTTCGATTTCCCAAATTTTCAATGTTTAAGTTTTGGTATTTTTTTAATATGTAAGTTAGACTTTGTTTTTTTTTATTTTTCACTTATTCGATTTTTCAAAATTTTGTGACTTTTTAAACCTTACATTTTTCCATTTTTCAATTTTTTGATTTTTCGATTCTTTGATCTTTTGACAACTCGATTTTGTAAATTTTCAATTTTTCGATATTTTAAATTTTCGAGTTTCCACTTTTTTGTTGTTTCGATTGCTCAGGGTTTCGATTTTTTGCCTTCTCATTTTTAGATTTTTCGATTTTCCAATTGTTTGGAATTAATTTTTCGCTCTTTCAGTATTTCGATTTTTCAATTTTCGATTTAACTTTTTTCTTTCGATTTTTCACTTTATCGTTTTTTTTTTTTAGTTAAAATTTTTCATTTCTGAATTTTCCCATTTTTCGATTTTTAATCACTTCCAATTCTCAAAATTTCGACTTCTCGATCTTTTGATGTTTCGATTTCGCGATCTTTTCAATTTTTCGATTTTCCAATAATTTTTTGACTTTTATGTTTTTCCTCTTTCCGATTTCTCAGTTTTTCGATTTTCCAAATTTTCAATGTTTAAGATTTGGGATTTTTTTAATGTTTGTTTCGGTTTTTAAATTTTTAGACTTTTCGACTTTCTGTTTTTGTCATTTTTTACTTATTCGACTTTTAAAAATTTTGCGACTTTTTAAATCTTACATTTTTACGTTTTTCAATTTTTTCATTTTTCGATTTTGTAAATTTTGAAAATTTAGAGTTTTCACTTTTTTGTTGTTTCGATTGCTCAGGCTTTCGATTTTTTGCCTTCTCATTTTTAGATTTTTAGATTTTCCAATTGTTTGGAATTAATTTTTCACTCTTTCAATATTTGGATTTTTCAATTTTCGATTTAACTTTTTTCTTTTGAATTTTCACCTTCTCGTTTTCCGATTTTCCGGTTTTTCAATTTTTCGGAATTAATTTTTCAGTCTTTCGATGTTTCGATTTTTCACTGTTTCGGTTTATCGGTTTTTTTGAGTTAAAATTTTTCAATTTTGAATTTTCCTTTCCATTTCTCAGTTTACGGATTTTTGGACTTCTCGACTTTTCGATCTTTTGATATTTCGATTTCACGATTTTTCAATTTTTCGATTTTCTAATTTTTCAACGTTTCCGTTTTGGGAGTTATGTATTTAAATTTTTCGATTTTTCAATTTCTCAATTTTTGGACTTTTCCATTTCTCAATTTCTCCATAAATGGATTTTTAAATTTTTTGACTTTCAGATTTTTCCTCTTTCCGATTTCCCAGTTTTTCAAGTCCTCAATTTTTCAAAATTTTGCGACTTTTTAAATCTTACATTTTTCGATTTTTCAATTTTTTGATTTTTCGATTCTTTGATGTTTTGATTTCTCGATTTTGCAAATTTTCAATTTTTCGAATTTTTGACATCTCAACTTATCGATCTTTTGATGTTTCGATTTCTCGAATTTTTAAATTTTCCGATTTCTATTTCTCAGTTTTTCGATTATTCGTCTTTTCGATTTTTCGAGTTTCAATTTTTTGACGTTTTGGGATTTAAGTATGTACATATTTAAATTTTTCGATTTCTCAATTTCTCGATTAATCGATTTTTAATTTTCCCATTTTTCGATTTTTCTGTTTATGTTTTGGGTTTTTTTCAATTTTGAGATTTTCTCAAGATTTCGATTTTTATATTTTTAGATTTTTGACTTTCTGTTTTTTTGATTTTTTACTTATTACAACACAGTTTCTACCCGAAGAAGGTACTGTGTAATCAATTTCTGTAATCAAACAAGGAAACTTTGGTCCTTGCCCATTTTGGAGTTTTAACTCCTTTCTTTTCGTATTCTAGACCACGTATACGACGCGCACCGGAATAGGATGTCGAATTCGACACCGACACCGACACCAGTCTGAACTGAGTCTGAAAATAGGCATGTAACCGCGCTACAGAAAGAGAGAGAGATAAACTGGTGTGAATGTGTAGGTAAGCGAAGAAAAAACGTCTGTTGCCTGGGTGGGAATCGAACCCCACGCCTCCCGCTTGCCTGGCAGGTGCCTTGACCACTAGGCTACAGAGCGGCTGTTCCTTACTTTTGCGTGCGATCAAACTGATTTTAGAAATTAATTCTCGTTATGCAACCAATAATACTGGAGATCCTCAGATATTAGATCAGTAAAAAAGCACCTGATAAATGTTTTTTCTATTTGATGTTCTAATAAACCTATAAAAGCTCTCAGCGACGATTTATATGAACCTAAGTTTATTAACCTTAATTAGTTGTAATGTGATCTTCCGTGTTTTAGTACATAGAAGAGTATTTATCCGCTAACGAGTGATGACAAATTTCGCAATTCCATTAAAATTTTCTTATTCTTAATGCGCTGTCGCAGTTATTGACAACTTAAATGTCACTTGTTTAGGGTTATTGTGTTACCAACATATATAATATTGTGGATGTATGATAATGAAATATAATTTAAAAATTTTGTATTAGGCAACCAGCTAATCACATCAGTTTTCGGCTGAATATTACACATTTTATCTACGCGGTGTCATGTGATTAATTAATTAATTAGTTGTTTCATCCCTTCCAAAAAGTCAATGACGTCAGTTTAAAACTTTCAAGCATTATGGTTAGTTAAACGCATTCTCATAACGTATCATTTATTAAGCTCAAGATTACATTGCCAACATCCGTAAACTAAACTGTAAAGACAGGTTACAAAAATCTTATATCTTATCATAGATATGTCCTTAAATAATTATATCTTTTTAAATATATTTACACTCATCTACGTAAAGTAACAATATAAAAATAATATCACATTCAGAGAAAAATTCAACGGATCATAATCGCATATAATTTCTGAACAATAATAGTTTCCAATATAGAGATATGCTTACAGCTAACCCCTACAAATGGCCCCGTAATATCATAAAGTCGTAAGCACCCTACTCCGGCCCTCCCCACCCCTTGGCGCGAAAATTCAACCGCGAAGCTATTTTTAAATGCTAATAGTATGCGAATCGCATTCCGGGGAATCGTGATTCGGGATCCAGACGCACGACGAACGAATAGTAGTGAGAGTGGCGTAGGTGGCAGAAAACTGGCGGAATCGAAAAACTCGGAAATAGATCAGAGAACACAAACGGTCGATATGTGAGGAATTAGTCGCCCCTTCGGCTACTGAGCACGGGCGACTGCAGCAGAGTGTTGCGCGTGGTGGGAGAGTTTGTCGTGTTGTTGCACTCGGAAGACTCCTGGGGGCTGTGCTTCTCGGTTAGTTGGACCTGGCGGGGGGAGGCGGGCGGCGAGTCTTGAGCGTTGATCTGCACGTCGGTGGTCTTGGTGGGCGACGTGGGGGGAGAGTCGTCCTGGGTGTTGGTCAGTTGGCGGCTCTCTGGGTCGACAAGCCTGGAAAAAACAAAAAAACCGTTGTTTTTAATAACTTAGGGAAAATCTGCGTTCTTTTCTGGTAGATTATTAACACGATTGCTTGGTTGTTTTACACATAACGATTTATTTTTAGCAAGTGAGTTTTTTTTTGTTCTAAATTCCTGAAAATAATAGCTTAGGCACTTAAATATTTTACGGTACCTTGAAATAGCTTGCATCAAACAAAAATAAATTCTTTTGTATTCGTGACTTTGTGAATGAACTGGCGCCAAAATAACTTAATTTGTAGGAGCACACGCCGCCTATTTCGTTCGGAGAAATCCACCGAAGTACTAAAACCGTTAAAATTGGGATACATTAATTTTCGCACGCGTGCCGACCAATCACAACAAAACACGTTTAAACTGACGCCAAATTCAAATATTATTCATGGTGTGTATTCAAGTGTTAGTTCCAATTATTCCATTTTTTGCTTTGTTAGTTCTCCGATTTTACAGTTTTTTGAGTTTTAAACTTTTAGTTTTTTAATTTTTCAATTTCGTGTTTTTTTACTTTTGAGCAAAAGGACAAATTTATCCAGACTAAAATATTGGAAAATCGGAAAATTGTATCATTGAAACAATGAAGAGTACAAAAATTTAAAATGAAAAATCCAAAAATTTCAAAATGAAAATCGAAAAACTAAAAAATCGAAACTCCGAAAAACTGAAAAATCGTAAAAATAGAGAAATTAAAAATAAAACTGCAAAATCGGTAAATAAAAAATTGGAAAAACGAAAAACTAAAAAATCTAAACATCAATCAATCGAAAAACGAGACAATTTTCAATGTTTCAATTTTAAAGTTTTCAAGTTTTTGACTTCCAATTTTCATCAAAATAAAACAATTGCAACAATTAAAAATCGAGAAATTGAAAAATCGACAAAATGCAATAATTATGCAATTTTTCGATATAATATTTTTCAAATTCTCGATTTTTCATTTTTTAATTGTTCAACAAAAGTACAAATTTATTCAAACCGAAATTTTGAAAAATTAAAAACTTTAAAAATCAGAAAATTTAAAAATTGAGAAGTCGAAGAATTGAAAAAATAAAGAAAAATTGAAAAAAACCCAACAAATGAGAATCAAAAATTGAAAAATCAAACTTGAAATATCGAAAAATTTAAAATTGAAAAATCGAAAAATGAAAAAATGAGGAATTAAACAAGTGGATAATTGAAAAAACTATTGAAAAATCGAAAAATTGTAATATGGAAACTTAAAAACCCCGATTAATTAAAATTCGAGAAATTGAAAAAATGAAAAAACGAAATACAAAAATTTCTATAAATTAAATAATCAAAACTACAAAAATTTTAATTTCAAAATCCAAAGCTTTTGCATTTGTTTGGAATTAATTTTTCACTCTTTCGATATTTCGATTTTTCAATTTTAGATTTAACTTTTTTCTTTCGATTTTTCATCCTTCTCGTTGTCAGATTTTCCGGTTTTTCAATTTTTCGGAATTAATTTTTCAGTTTTTCGATGTTTCGATTTTCCACTGTTTCGGTTTATCGGTTTTTTAAGTTGAAATTTTTCAATTTTGAATTTTCCTATTTTCGATTGTAACCACTTCCATTTCTCAATTTACGGATTTTTGATTTCCTAATGTTTTGATTTTTCGATTTCTCAATTTCTCCATTACTTAATGGATTTTTAAATTTTTTGACTTTTAGATTTTTCCTCTTTTCGATTTCTCAGTTTTTCGTTTTCTCAAATTTTCAATGTTTAAGTTTAGGGATTTTTCAATTTTGCGATTTTTTTAATATGCATTTCGATTTTTAAAGTTTTAGACTTTTCGACTCTGTTTTTTTGATTTTTTACTTATCCGATTTTTCAAAATTTTGCGACTTTTTAAATCTCACATTTTTCGATTTTCAATTTTTTGATTTTTCGATTCTTTGATGTTTTGATTTCTCGCTTTTGTAAATTTTCAATTTTTCGAATTTTTAAATTTTAGAGTTTCCACTTTTTTGATTTCCAATTTTAATCAAAATGAAATTTTGCAAAATCGAATAACTGTAACTTGAAAAATCGACAAAACGCAACAATTCTGCAATTTTTCGATATAATATTTTTCAAATTCTCGATTTTTCATTTTTTAATTGTTAAACAAAAGGAGAAATTTATTCAAACCGAAATTTTGAAAAATTTAAAAATCAGAAAATTCAAAAATTGAGAAGTCGAAGAATTGAAAAAATAAAGAAAAAATGAGAATCAAAAATTGATAAATGAAACTTGAAATATCGAAAAATTTTAAAATTGAAAAATCGAAAAATGAAAAAATGAGAAATTAAACTAGTGGATAATTGAAAAAACAATTGAAAAATCGAAAAATTGTAATACGGAAACTTGAAAACCTCGATTAATTAAAAATCGAGAAATTGAAAAATTGAAAAAACACAGAAACTGAAAAATTGGAAAATGGAGAAGCCAAAAATTGAATAATAAAAACCTTAATAATTATTTGAAAAAAGTGAAAAATTAAAAATCGGCAAATTTAAGAATGAAACAATTACAAAATTGTAAATTAAAAAAAAAAAAATTAAAAATGGAAAAATTGGAGAAATGAAAAGTTGAAAAACCATACTTGAAATAGCAAAAAATTGAAAAAATTGGCAAACTGAAAATTGGGTAACGAAAAAACAATTAAAAAATGGAACAACTGAGAAAAAGATAGAAACTGTAAAATCGAAAATTTGTAACATTGAAACGTGAAAAAGTGATAAATTAAAAATCTAGGAATTGAAAAATCGAAAAAACGAAAAATTGTAAAATTCAACAGATAGAAAATCGAAAAATTAAAAAGCAAAATAGAAAATCGAAAAATACAAAAAATTTACTGAAAAACGGAACAATTTTATAATGAAAATCGAGAAATTAAAAAAAATGGAGGAATCGAAACACGGAAAAATCTAAAAATTATCAATTAAAAAAATGAAAAATGTAAATTTTCAAATTGAGAAATCAAAAAATCAAAGAAACAATATAATTTGGAATTACCTACTTGGAATTACTTTATTCTTAATTTTTTATTTTCCCAATTTTTCGTTTTAAATCAAAAATCGGAAAATTGTAACACTGAAAAATTGAAAAATCAAAAAATTTAAAAGTGAAAAATCGAAAAAGAAACACTGAGAACCCAACAATTTAAAAATTGAGATATCGAAGAATTGAAAAAATAAAGAAACCCAATCGAATAATTAAAAGGTTAAGACAATTGAAAAATCGAGAAAGTGAAAAATTTCTTCTATAAATTAAACAATCAACAATACAAAAAAAAAAAATCAAAATCCAAAAATTTTAAAATGAAAACCGGAAAACTAAAAAGTTAAGAAATTGTAAAAAAGAAACATGGAAAAATTGAAAAATTGAAAAATTGTAACATGGAAAAACCAAAAAATTTAAAAACCGTGAAATCAAAGATTTGAAAAAATACAGAAACTGAAAAATCGGGTAATTGAAAAGCCAAGAATTGTACACTTGAAAAAAATGCTTATAATAATTATTTGAAAAAAGCGAAAAATTAAAAATCGGGAAATTTAAAAATTGAAAAAACGAAAAATTGTAAAAAGATGGAAAATCGAAAAATTAAAAAATCGAGAAATCGAAAAATGTAAAAACGAAGCTTGGAAAAATCGAAAATTTAAATAAACAAAAATTTAAAAATCTCGAATTTTTTTTCAATTTTTCGTTTATTAATGTTCAACAAAATGACAAACTTATTAAAAGCGGAATTTTAAAAAATAGAAAAATCGGAAAATTGTAAAACTGAACGGACAAACTTATTAAAAGAGGAATTTAAAAAAATCAAAAAATTGTAAAATTGTAAAACTGAAAAATTGAAAAATCAAACAATTAAAAATTGAAAAATCGAAAAAGGACAGTTTCAAAATTGAGAAATCGAAGAGCTGCAAAAATAAAGAAACTCAAAATCGAATAATTAAGAGATCAACAATTGGAAAAGGAAAAATTGTAACCTTAAAAATGAAAAAACTGAACATTTAAAAATAGAAAAATCGAACAATTGCAAAATTGAAAATCAAAAATAGAAAAAACGAACTTGAAACACCGAGAAATTTAAAAATTGTAATATTAAAACTTGAGAAACTGAAAACTTCGATAATTGAAAAAACAACTGAAAATTTGAAAAACTGAAAAAAAAGAAACTGTAAAATCGAAAAACTGATTAATTAAACAAAAGCTGAAAAATGTCAACATAAACATGGAAAAACTGTAAAATAAAAAAATCGAAAACTGAAAAATTGAAAAAATGAAACAATGAACAATAAAAAAAAAATTGAAATACTGAAATGTGGAAAAATAGCGAAAGTAAAAAGTCGTATAACGAAAAAATCAACAATTGAAAAATCAAAAAAAAAAATATCTTAAAATGGAAAAATCGAAAAAACAAGAAACTGTCAAATCTGAAAATTATAATATTTAAACCTGAAAAAACTGACGAAATAAAAATCGAGAAACTGAAAAATTAAGAAATTGTAAAAACGAAACATGGAAAAATTAAAAAATTGTAACATCGAAAAAACGAAACATCTCAAATTGAGGAATCAAAAATTCGAAGAAACAAAATAAATTGGAATTACCTATTTGGAAGTACTTTATTTTTTATTTTTTATTTTCTGAACTATTCGTTTTTTAATTTTTCAAAGAAGAACAAATTTATTAAAATTGAGATTTTAAAAAATCAAAAAATCGGAAAATTGTAACACTGAAAAATTGAGAAATCAAAAAATTTAAAACTGAAAAATCCAAAAAGAAAACCGACAAATCAAAGAATTGAAAAAATTCAGAAACTGAAAAATCGGGTAATTGAAAAGCCAAGAATTGTGTACTTGAAAAGAAATCCTAGTCATAATTATTTGAAAAAAGTGAAAAATTAAAAATCGGGAAATTGAAACAATTACAAAATTGTAAATTTAAAAAAAAAAAAATAAAAACGTAATATCGAAAATTTGTAACACTGAAACCTGAAAAAGTGATACATTAAAAATTGAGAAATTGAAAAATTGAAAAATCGAAAAATTGTAAAAAGATGGAAATTCGAAAAATTAATCAACTTGGAAAAAAGCAAAATTAAAAAATCGAAACGTACAAAAATTTTACTGAAAAATAAAAATCGAAAAACTAAAAAATCGAGAAATCGAAAAATGTAAAAACGAATCACAGAAAAATAAAAAAATTAACAGTTAAAAAAACAAAAATTTAAAAATCTCGAATTTTCTCAATTTTTCGTTTTTTAATTATTCAACAAAAGCACAAACTTATCAAAAGTGGAATTTTAAAAAATCAAAAAATCGGAAAATTGTAAAACTGAAAGGACAAATTTGTTAAAAGTTAAATTTTAAAAAATCAAAAAATCGGAAAATTGTAAAACTGAAAATGCGAAAAACAAACATTGAAAAACCGAACAATTTAAAAATTGAGAAATCGAAGAACTGCAAAAATAAAGAAACTAAAAATCGAATAATTAAGAGGTTAACAATTGGAAAAGGAAAAATTGTAACCTTAAAAATGAAAAACGTAAAAATTTAAAAAACAGAAAAATCGAACAATTGCAAAATTGAAAATCAAAAATAGAAAAAACGAACTTGAAACAGCGAGAAATTGTAATCTTAAAACTTGAGAAACTGAAAACTTCGATAATTGAAACACAACTGAAAATTTGAAAAATTGAAACAAAAGAAACTTAAAAATCGAAAAACTGATTAATTAAACAAAAGTTGAAGAATGTCAAAATAAACATCGAAAAACTGTAAAATTAAAAAAACGAAAACTGAAAAATCGACAACAAAAAATCAAAAAATGCAACAACTCCAAAATAAAAATCGAAAAACTGAGAAATCTTAAAATCGAAAAGCTAAGAATCTGGGCCAGTTTGAATTTAGCGCCGATGTACTTTGTTGTGATTGGTCGGCACGGGTGCTGTTAAAATTGCTCCTTTGACGACACACTCAATCGAAGTACTGTGTGTTAAGGTGGAAGGAACACTTTTTCTGCAGCTTGTAAATTTGTATTAGTTTCCGGTTACGCTTGACGTAATATTCAGCGCAAAGCGACTACGCGAAGACATATAAAGCAACAGAATTTTGTAAAGCGTGCCGATTAACATTCCAATCAACTCATCGCCGCAGATGTTTCTCTGATACAAACTATTGAATTGCTTCCAATAAAACTTTGGTGTTATTGTAAGTTTCTTTTAAGTGTGTAGAATGAGCAGTCGGAATGGAGGGTATTGAATTCCTGGAATAAAGCCTTCAGAAGGCGCTGCGACGAATCGATTCGACGCAGAGGGGTTAATCTGATGGATCACGTCGTTTTGCAAAATTTCAAAGAAAACAAATTATACATATAGTTTAATCTATAAACACTGGCGTTTACAGAATTCCGACTACCTACCTGAACGTCTCCAAGAACTCGTTCAAGTCGACCAGTCCGTCCTTGTTGATGTCCATCAACCTGCATATTTCGACCAGTTGTTCTTGCGTGATGGGATTCGGCATGTGCTCCTTGATTAGATTGCATGCCTCGGAAAATTCGTCCAGACTTATAAAACCTGCAGAAAAGCGATCAGTTCACGCAGTGTCGTTTCAAGTTTTACCTGAATTGTCTTTGTCGATAATTCGGAAAATTGCTTCCAAATTGCCTTTGTTGCGGTAGAGGGTTTCCACGACGGTGGAGGCGCCTTGGACGGACTGCAAGCGACGATTAGAAGCTTCAACAACTGATTTAGTTCAAACTCACGTTTATTTTGTGGCTGCTTATGTTCTCGAAGGTCGAAGCGTAGGTGACTTGCTGGCTCTCCGGGTCTACTGTTACTAGTTTTTCTTTGAGCATCCTCCAAGGGAGACCTAATCCGGTGGCCTTCTCCATGACTTGGCACCACTCGCTCACGGTGATATAACCTAGAGCAAATTACGTACATTCTTCAAGTCATGTTTAATAGTTCCAACACCTCCCCCGTCGCTAAGTGTCCTCACGCACAACCCTCGCGAAGCATCAATTAGATTACGCCGACAAAGTCCAATTAGCCGGAAACCATTAACTTACATCATTACGAATTACCCGAAATTGGAGGGAATCGATCTCTCGACGCAAACGACGACGACGATTTTGATACACCATGTACAGATAAATTACAGCGATTGCCTACATCCATTTCGCATTAAGTCAGGTCAAGGCAGTTTTACGACGCCGATCCCCTAATTCCCTGCCTGAATACCGTTTATCCCTAATCACGTCCGCAACCGCACTAACCTGTCAGTTCGGGATCAGCTTTGACGAACTCCCGCTCCAATTTGGTCTTGTTCGTCATTATTTGTCCGTGAAGCTCACGTATAGCGGAGGCCTCCACCAAGCCTATCCTTTGATGGAAAGTCAACCGCTTCGCCCTGCCCGCCGCCGCCATGTACTGGACGAAGTGGGTGTCCAGCTGGGGGCCCACGAGCTTCAAGTACGCTCCTTTGTTCGAACCGAGCTCGTAGTAGTTGGACGCCGAAAATATCGTGATGACCTGGAAAGGTTTTTGAGTTGAAAGGAGAGCTGAAACTAAAATGGTTTGGCGTATTTGCGTTCGTTTAACGAAGTTGTGAGAGACTTCTCAGTTTGGTGGAGTGGTCGATAGTTTTAAGTTCGGCTTTCAGGTTGTCTTTCATTGCACGTGTGTAACTACAGGAACAAGCCAGGTGGAAAGCAGAGAGCGCTCATTTATAAAGCATGGATGTCGCTTTTGAACGTTTCCACTTGAAAGATATAGCCGACGTGACAGATCATCATTCTAAATACAAATAGTTGATTTTCACAATTATTCCTACAAAGCAGCACGTCGAGATCTATATCCCTGAACTTTCTGAGAATTTTAGACAACTTTTTCAAAAATGAAATTTTAACCCTTATGCAAATTTCGACCTACTTTCGAACAGTTTCGAAATTTAACTAAATACATTTTCTTCTACCGATACGATACGAAGCGATAAATGATAAGGACGAAAATATAAATTTCAGATGCGAAAGAAAAAGACGACCGCATTTTATCGGTACCGATATTTTATCGTTATAGAAACAAAATTCCACCCCTGGCCTCGTTTTTACGATAACTGCAGCCGTTTTTCCGGAACCGCCTACCGAAATAGGGAATATTTTAGAAATTTTCAAAAATTCGCATTTCTTACCGAATATTTCGAAAATGTTGCTCTACCGAGTGTCTGGAAAATGGTGACTAAAATTAACAATTTACCATGCTTACAATAACTTTAAAACGTCTGCAAGATTTCGAAGTATTAAGTTTTGCAATTCTTGATCTATTCAATAAAATAAATTGACTGATTCATTAATTATTTTGAGTCAGCCTGTATAAGCAAATAAAAAAAGCGAGGCTCTTAATTTGATCAATAAAAAATTAATTTGACAAATTCAGCTCTTTAAAAAACTTAGAAAATTTGATTATACGATTTTCGTTTTGTGAAAACCGAAGACATAAATAACACCCCTTGTCCTTCAGCAGTAGCAATCTGAAGCTCAAGTTGCTTATTTATGTTTATACATCGAAAGAATGTCACGTAGGAGTTAGTTTGATTTGAATGAGTTTGTCTTTTCAAAACATGACTAAAGTTATTAATTAAATGACAATCGCAGTCGCTATTATCTCCGATACCCCACAGGGCCACGGAGACGTTCAAACCGTGTAGGGACTAAAACATGACAGATAGACAGACAGACAGACAGACGGAAACGGGAGACTACTTATAAAAGTGGCCAATCGTACGGTGGACTTGATTACGATTACTTACGTTCGGGAAGTAACCTAAACAAAACCAACAAAAGAAAAATCCATTAAAGCATAACCAACTAAATACTAGAGAAGATGTTCAAAATTTTTGCCTTGTGCATATAAGTAAACTCGTAATGTTTCTAAATTTTTATCACTTTTTATAAAAGTTGATCAGTACTTGCTACGATAAAACTGATTTTGGCAAATGAGATACCTTCCAAGAAAAGAGAGGGTGGGTGGGCGGGGCTAGTACCTGGTAAGATAAGACTGATTTTGGCAGATGAGATACGTTCTAAAAACAGAGAGGGAGGGTGGGCGGGGCTAGTACCTGCTAAGATAAAACTGATTTTAGCAAATGACTTATACTCCAGAAAATTTAATTAAATTATTATATGAAAAGACACTAGAGGCTTTAAAGCACTTTCAAATTCTTTCCAAACAGGAATACATAGAACCTCAAGATTGTTTTAAATTTTTCAAAAAAAAAACGGGGTCCCAAAATTAAAGGTGAGAAGTTTCGAAAAATAAAATTTTAAACTATGCAAATTTCGACCCATTTTCGATCATTTTCAAATTTAACTAAATACATTTGTTTATAGAATTCTGGCCTCAGAAGTCACTTATGGCCTTGTTTCTTGACTAACTCCAACAGTTTTTTCATAATCCGGAATTCTTACGGAATAGCTCATTTGAAAAAATCAGTCTTATCTTACCACGGACTAATCCCGCCCACCCACCCTCTCTTTTCTCAGAAGGATATGTCATTGCCAAAATCAGTTTTATCTTAGCAAGCAGTGATGACCAACTTTTACAAAAAATGATCAAAATTTGGAAACATTACGGGCTTTTTCAGTAAGCCGAAGGTATTAATTTTTTTTTCGTAATCTACGTCATAAAGAATTGTTTAATTATTTTTTTGTGACCCCCGAAATCCATATACATAACGTACTGAAGAGTTAATCCGCCATTTTCCAGACACCCGGTATATCTCGACAGGCTGATTCCAAAAATATAGAGTTTATGGTTATGGAGAAACATTTTCGAAAGATTCGGTATGAAATGCGGATTTTTAAAATCTTCTAAAAATTGCGATATTTCAGTGGTCGATTCCGGAAAAACGAAATATACAAGAAAATGTGACCTAACTTGACATAACCTCACTTGACATGACATGACCTGACTTTACATGCCCTGATTTGACATGACCTGACTTGACATGACCTGACTTGATATGACCTGACTTGACATGACCTGATTTGACATGAACTGATTTAGTGTGACCTGACAGGACCTGACTTAAAATGACTTGAGTGATCGAAGAACAAAAAGTTGAAAAATTCCAAAATTCCAAACCACTGGCAAATGATATGAAAAATTTAAAACAATCTTGAGGTTCTGGGTATTTCTATTTGGAAAGAATTTGAAAGTGATTTGAAGCCTCTAGTGTCTTTTTTAATAATAATTTAGTTTAATTTATTTTTAACACTGGCTGGTGGCCTTTGATTGAAAATAAAAAAAAAAAAACTCCATTTTTCCGTTTGTTTTTTCATGTTAAAATTAAAGTAAAATTCACTGCCGAACAAGGAATCAGCAATGAATAATAATTTAATTAAATTTCTTAGAGGGCACGTTATTTCCCAAAATAAGTCTTATTTTAACGGCTACTAGCCCCGCCCACCCACCCTCTCTTTTCTTAAAGTGTATCTCATTTGCCAACATCAGTTTTATCTTAGCAGAGTGGCTAGCCCCGCCCACCCACCCTCTCTTTTATTACAAGATGTCTCATCTGCCAAAATCACTCTTATCTTACCAGGCACTAGCCCCGCCCACCCACCCTCTTTTTTCTAAGAAGGAATTTCATCTGCCAAAGTCAGTCTTATCTTAGCAGAGTGACTAGGGGCTAGTCACTCTGCTAAGATGAGACTGAAAACAGGCTAGATGGGCGGGGAGCCCATCTACCCTGTTTTTTTTTATCACTCATTTTATTGGACGATAAGTGGATTTTATGTTGATAAACAGTCGAACGTAGAAAAAAAAGTAAAACTAACCCTTTTGAGTTTCTTTGGCTTATTTTACTTACTGTGAGACAAAAATTGTATTCTTACTTGGCAATTAAAACAAAAAAAAGACTCAAAGTGTCTCATTTTGGCAGATGAGACACCCACTGAGAAAAGAGAGGATCGGTGGGCGGGGCTAGTACCTGTTTAGGTAAGGCTGATTTTGGCAAATGACATACCCTCTAAGAAGAGAGAGGATGGGTGGGCGGGGCCAATACCTGGTAAGATAAGACTGATTTTGGCAAAAGAGATCCCTCTAAGAAAAGAGAGGGTGGGTGGGTGGGGTTAGTACCTGCCAAGATAAAACTGATTTTGGCAAATGAGACACCCTCCGAGAAAAGAGAGCGTGGGTGGGCGGGGCTAGTACTTGGTAAGATAAGACTGATTTTGGCAGATGAGACACCCTCCGAGAAAAGAGAGGGTGGGTGGGCGGGGCTAGTACCTACTAAGATAAGATTGATTTTGGCAGATGAGACACCCTCTGGGAAAAAAGAGGGTGGGTGGACAGGGCTAGTACCTCTGTAGATAAGGGTGATTTTGGCAAATGATAAATCCTCTAAGAAAAGAGAGGGTGGGTGGGCTAGTTAGTACCTGCTAAGATAAAACTGATTTTTGCAAATGAGACACTCTCTGAGAATCAGTATAATCTTACCAGGTACTAGACCCGCCCACCCACCCTCTCTTTTCTTAGAGGAATCTCATTAGCTAAAGTCAGTCATAACTTAGCAGGCATTAGCCCTCTAAGAAAATAAAGGGCGGGTGGGCGGGGCTAGTGCTGGCCAAGATAAGGCTGATTTTGCTAAATAACATACCCTTTAAGAAAATAAAGGGCGGGCGGGTGGAGCTAGTATTTGCCATAATAAGACTGATTTTGGCAAATGACCTACTCTCTAAGAAAATAAAGGGCGGGTGGGTGGGGTTAGTCTTTGCTAAGATAAAACTGATATAGCCAAATGGCATACCCTTGAAGAAAATAAAGGGTGGGTGAGCTGGGCCAATACTTGCAAGGATAAGAGTGATTTTGCCAAATAATATAAACTCTACCCTTCACTTTGTTAGAGGGACATACAATATCAGTCTTATCCTAGTAAGTACCAGCCCTGTACACTCGCCTTCATTCTCTTAGAGAGTAGGTCATTTTTATCTTACCAGGTACTATCCCGCCCACCCACCCCCTCTTTCCTTACAGGGTATGTCATTTGCCAAAATTAGTTTTATCTTACCAGGTACTCGCCCCGCCCACCCACCCTCTATTTTCTTAGAAGGTATTTCATCTGCCAAAATCAGTTTTATCTTAGCTAGTACTTGCTAAGATAAGACTGATTGTGGCAAATTACATACCCTCTAAAATAAGAGGGGGCGGGTGGGCGGGCCTAGTACTTGCTAAGATAACACTGACTTTGGCAAATGACATACCCTGTAAGGAAAGAGAGGGTGGGCAGTGGGCGGGGCTAGTATCTGCTAAGATAAGACTGATTTTGGCAAAAGAGATATAACTTAATGACATATCCTAAGAAATTTAATTAAATTATTATAAGAAAAGACACTGGGGGTTTTAAACCACTTTTAGATTCTTTCCAAACAGGAATACCTAGAACCTCAAGATTGTTTTAAATTTTTCATGTCATTTGCCAAAATCAGTGTAATCTTAACAGATTCTAGCCCCGCCCACCCACCCTCTCTTTTCATAGAGGGTATCTCATCTTCCAAAATCAGTCCTGTCTTAGCAGGTACTAGCCCCGCCCACCCGCCCTGTCTTTTCTTAGAGGGTATCTCGTTTGCCAAAGTCAGTGTTATCTTAGCAGGTTCAAATTGCATCTTAGTAACGTCAATCAAATTGATTATATTGTTGCATTAACGTCGTTGCACAATTAGGGCAAATATGCAATTTTGCTATGTGCTAAGGTAAGTACTCTGATGTAACCCGAACTTAAATTTAGTCTGTCGCCCAATTTCTGAAATGATAATATTAATTCGAATATCTAATAATTTTTTTAGCAATTGTTTTGTTGAGGAATTATTGCTGGTATTGTAACAGAGAAATTGTTCTAGCATTTCCAAGGCCATGAAGTTTTTGAGAACTAATTCACCGAACTACTTAGTTGTCAAAAATCGCCCTCTTCTTAGTCTTCAAAGCCTTGACAATATTAAATTACAACTTTTCAAAATTAATTTCAAAAATTTTGCGTTCAAAACGAATGACGTGAAAACGCCTTTTACTCCTTTTGTAGCCTTGAAATTTGGATTTTTTAAAAGATAGAAATTTTGAGCTGGTTGAAGCTTTAACAACAGCACAAGCGTATTTCTCCGAAATAAGTAATTTCAGTGTTGTCAAGGCTTCCAAGACCTTCATAACGAAATGTTGATGACGTTCTTGTCAAATACCAGTCTATTTTTAGTCTTCAGAGCCTTGACTACTTCATGACATTTCTAGTATTGTCAAAATTTCTGCAAGTGTTTCAAAATTAATTCGAAAGATTCCTTTTCACTCATATTTCAAACATTTATATTTTCAAAGCCCTCAAACTTCAAATTCAAAATGGGTCCGCCCACTCACCACGTTTTCTTTTTGATTACTCGTTTTATTGGTCGAAACATGGATTTTATGTTGATAAACACTGGAATTTAGACCAAAAAGGTAAAACTGAACCCACCCACCTCCGCGTTTGGATTTCATTGGCTTATTTTATTTACCGTGATATGAAAATTGCATTCGATTTTGACAAATGGTCAATCTAATTAAAAAAATATTAAAATGGTCCCGCCCACCGGCCCCGTTTACTTTTTGATCACTCATTTTATTGGGCGAAAAGTGGATTTTCTGTTGAAAAACATTGGAACGTACAAAAGAAATGTGTAACTAACCCCACCCACTCCCGCTTTTGAATTCCATTGGCTTATTTGATTTACTATGAGACAAAAGCTCATAATGTATCTAAATTAGGATCATTCTTTATAAAGTTAGATTACTACTTAGTACTTGCTAAGAAAAAACTGATTTTGGCAAATAACATACCTTCTAAGAAAAGAGAGGGTGGGTGAGCGGGGCTAGTATTTACTAAGATGAGACTGGTCTTGTTGACCATTACCCATGATGTATTATTTTGGGGGCCCATGGAGATTTTTTTTTTGTAAATTATTTAAAAGAATTTTGGACTATTTTTGAAAAATTCTGAGCTGACCTGTTTTTGAGTAAATTTTGGGAAGCCGTTTTTTTTTTAAAGTGGTTTCGAGCCTCAAATGCCTTTTCTTATATGTAATAATTCAATTAAATTTCTTAGGATATGTCATTTAAGTCATCTCATTGGCCAAAATCAGCCTTATCTTAGCAGGTACTAGCCCCGCCCACCCACCCTGTCCTATCTTAGAGTATGTCTCATCTGCCAAAATCAGTCTTATCTTAGCAGGTACTAGCCCCGCCCACCCACCCTCTCTTTTGTCAGAAGGTATTTCATCTGCCAAAATCAGTCCTATCTTAGCAGAGTGGCTAGTCCCGCCCACCTACCCTGTAGAGGGCGGGTGGGTGGGGCTCGTATTTAATAAGATGAGACTGGTTTTGTTGACCATTACCCATGGTGTATTCTTTTGGGGGCCCATGGAGACATTTTGTAAATTATTTAAAAGAATTTTGGACCATTTTTGGAAAATTTTGAGCTGACCTTTTTTTGAGTAAATTTTGGGAAGCCGTTTTTTTTTGAAAAATTTAAATCAATCTTGACGTTCTAGGTATTCCCGTTTGAAAAAAATTTAAAAGTGATTTCGAGCCTCAAATGTCTTTTTTTATATGTAATAATTCAATTAAATTTCTTAGGATATGTCATTTAAGTCATCTCATTGGCCAAAATCAGCCTTATCTTAGAAGGTACTAGCCCCGTCCACCCACCCTGTCCTATCTTAGAGTATGTTTCATCTGCTAAAATCAGTCTTATCTTAGCAGGAACTAGCCCCGCCCACCCACCTTCGCTTTTCTTAAAGGGATGTCTTTTTCCAGAATCAGTCTTATTTTACCAGGTACTAGCCCCGCCCACCCACCCTCTCCTATTTTAGAGTATGTCTCATCTGCCTAAATCAGTCTTATCTTAGCAGGTACTAGCCCCGCCCACCCACCCTCTCTTTTATCAGAAGGTATTTCATCTGCCAAAATCAGTCCTATCTTAGCAGAGTGGCTAGTCTCGCCCACTTACCCTGTAGAGGGCGGGTGGGTGGGGATAGTATTTAATAAGATGAGACAGGTTTTGATGAGCATTACCCATGATATATTGTTTTGGGGACCCATGGAGATTTTTTTTGTAAATTGTTTAAGAGAATTTTGGGGTACTTTGGTGTTCTATTTTTGGAAAATTCTGAGCTAATCTGTTTTTGAGTAAATTTTGGGAACCCATTTTTTTTTGAAAAATTTAAAACAATCATTGGGCTCTAGGTATTCCTGTTTGAATAGAATTTAAAAGTGGTTTGGAGCCCCAAGTGTCTTTTCTTGTACGTAATAATTTAATTAAATTTCTTAATATGTCATTTAAGTCATCTCATTCGCCAACATCAGTTTTATCTTAGCAGATACTAGCCCCGCCCACCCGCCCTCTCTTTTCTTAGAGGGTATCTCATTTGCCAACATCAGTCTTATCTTAGCAGTTGCTTGTCCCGCCCCTCTCCCTCTATTTTCTTAGAGGGTATCTCATTTGCCAAAATCAGTCTTGTCTTATTATTGGCAAACGACATACCCTCTAAGAAAAGAGAGGGTGGGTGGGCGGGGCTAGTACTTGTTAAGGTGGACTGATTTTGGTAATTGACATACTTTTTAAAATAGTAAAGGGTGGGTGGGTGGCACTAGTATTCGCTAAGATAAGACTGATTGTGGCAAATTAAATACCTTCCAAGAAAATGGAGGGTGGGTGGGCGGGGCTAAAGCTTGTTAAGATAGAACTGAACAATATGAAGAGTAGTCACTGGAATGATGAAGGGGTGGGTGGGCGGGGCTACTGTTTGCTCATGAAATTAGAAAAAATCGAAACTTAGCTTACTTTTACAAAAAATGAAGAAAATTTGGAAACATTACGAGCTTACTTATATGCAGAAGGCAGGAATCTTCTCTAGTGTTTAGTTGGTTATACTTTAATGGAATTTTCTTTTATTGTTTTTGTTTTTGTTTATCTATACATAAGTATATATAAAAGGCAATGTACCGACTGACCTATCAACGCTCAGCCGAAACCGCTAATGCTAGAAAGTTGAAATTTGAAGAGAATGTTCTTTTTTAGACAACTTTTTAGAAAATGAAATTTTAAACCAGTGTACCTCCCTTTTAAATAAATACATTTTCTTCTAGATTTCGGGCCGCACAAGTCACTTTCGGCTTCGTTGTTGCGATTACTATAACCGTTTTTCCAAAATCGTCCATTCAAGTGTTACAGTTTTTGACAATTTTCAAAAATTCGCATTTTTTTCTTATATATTGACCGACAAAAAAAAAGCCGCCCTGAAAAATTTCGCAAAACCAAAATTTAAAAATTATAAATTTAACTAGTGATCGTTATTTTATTAAAGAACCATGCACTATTGACACATGATGTATAAGTTAGCAAAAAAAAGAAGACAAATAAACGCAGAATTAAATTTAATTCTGCGTTTATTTGTCTTCTTTTTTCGCTAATTTGTACATCATGTGTTAACAGTGAATGGTTCTTTAATAAAACAGCGATCATAAATTAATAATTTTTAAAGTGGTTTTGCGAAATTTTTCAGGGTGGCCGGTTTTTTTGCCGGTCGGTGTATTTTTGAAATCAACACGTCAAATCCGCCAACCGTGCACTTATTAAACGTTGCAAATCATCCAACCACGCTCTGCGTGTATAAAATTTCACTACCCCTCCCTCCCTCCACCCCCATCAACAGCAACGACTCGAATTCCCGACAAAAAATCGTGGGAATAACCGCAGGAGATATGAAACAAAGTGGGCGATTTATAACATTCTCGTTCTGTAACGACGCGCAAATTCAACACGAGGAAATAGATTCGATTGCAGATAATGAAGTCGTAAAATTTGAAAGAGAAGAGGGTCGTATTGTGATTTACAGCCTGAATTTCGATACGGCCCGTTTTTGCCTGGCGTGCCGTGACCGGCCTTCGCAACTGCGACATAAACCATTTCGTTTGATCGCTGCTGCGGCACCTCCCTGTCATTATTTCCCGTTAAAACAGTCTCCCACAACAAACCGTATCGTTACGGCGTGCCGTGACCAGGATGCCAACATTTCAAAGTAACTAAACTCACCGAATTGTCGTGTATCACCTCGTACCCCTCCGATTTACACTCGTGCGACCTCACGATATACAGCATTCGGTTCTTCTCCAGGAAATTTTTCGTCACGTCGGGCCCGAAATACGTGCCGGCGCCCCTCAGAGCGTTCGGGATGCAGCCGTTCCCGATCTGGGGGTCGGACCACAGGATGTCGAACACCTGGAATGTGGATGTTTGGAAATGGGGCGGTTTTCGGCGCGATTTTACCTGTTTCCACTCGACTTTGTCGATGAGCTCGGCCCCGGGGGCAGAGCTGTCGCTGATGGGCGGCCGCAGCAGCGAAGAGTACTGCAACAAAGCGGATAAAACTGTTGACTTCATTCATTGTTAAGCGAGACAAGTACAAAATATGTACAAATTGGTCGGTGGTGCAGTACCTGAGTGCTCGCGCGCCGCCCCCAAATTTTATTTACGAGCTATTTCGTGAAACCTTTCAGCATAATGCGCGATGTTGAGTGCGGATGCTTGACGCTCTTAAAATTCTGCTTAGCTGCGGTGAAAAATATTACAAGTGGCACTCACCTTTCCCCTGTCTAAACTCCTTATGAGATCGAGATCGGTCGTGTCGGAGATGCCGCCGTGGACGATGAGGACCTTGTTGTTGACGATGGTGCCCAGCGGTAGCCAGCGGTACACGCCCTCGATCAACTTCAGCAGCTTCTCCGAGTTCCTCTGCAATCAAATTAGCGTGACACTTTGCCCACTCGACGCGGTTTTCTTAATTTCCTGCTGGATATTTACTCAGCGGGAACGAATTGAATTCGACGAGCAAAAACACGCAGTCGATTTTGCAAGAATTAATAGGCGGCTCAGGGGTCCGCACGGGCGCCGATATCTTTCACGGGTTTTGCCAGTGACGTGATTATATTTTCGCGGCTATTTTACTTTTTTACGTCTGTTTTGTTCTAAAATCTGGATTTTCTATAATAATCATTAATTATTATCATTTTTAGCAATTGTTTTATTGAGGAATGAATGAATGAATTATTGTTGTTGTTACAAGTAACGTCAGTGTTTTCAAGGCGTCATAAACCTTCATAATGAAAAAAATGTTGACGATATTGTCAAGTGTCGGTCTGTTTTTTGTCTTCAGAGTTTTGATTATACCATGACATTTTTAGTATCGTCAAAATTCCCACGAGTTTTTAAAAATTAATTCGAAATATTTTTTTACCCAAATTTCAAAGGTTGAACAACTAGAAGACGTTACAGAAGTTCTTTGAGTACCTTATTTCTAAAAAAGCCCAAACGTTTGGTTCACTTTGATGATTGTTGCCAAAAACCTTCCCCCTTCTTAGTCTTCAAGGCCTTGACACTACTAAATTACGAGTTTTCAAAATTAATTTCAAAAATTTTACCTTGCGAACATTCAAAATTTTTAAAAGTTGAATACGAAACGAATGACGTGAAAACGCATTTCTACTACTTTTGTAGCCTTGAAATTCGAATTTTCCGAAATTTGGGGCTATTTGAAGCCTTAACAACAGCAGAAGGGTATTTCTCCGAAATAAGTAATTTCAGTGTTGTCAAGGCTTGGAAGACCTTCATAATGAAATGTTGACGACGTTCTTGTCGAATACCGGTCTATTTTTGGTCTTCAGAGACTTGACTACTCCATTACATTTCTAGTATTGTCAAAATTTTTACGAGTTTTTCAAAATTGATTCGAAATATTCCTTTTCACTCAAATTTCAAAGATTCAAGGCTAACGACAATTGGAAGACGTTATAGAATTCCTTTAAATATTTTCAAAGCTTTCAAACTTCAAATTCAAATTGGGTCCACCCACTCACCACGTTTTCTTTTTGATCACTCATTTTATTGGACGAAAAGTGGACTTTATGTTGAAAAAAAAATGAAACGTAGAAAAGAAGAGTGAAATTTATTTACTATGAGACAAAAGCTTATAATGTTTCTAAATTTTGATCATTTTTTATAAAAGTTAGATCAGTACTTACTAAGATAAGACTGAATTTGGCAAATCACATACCCTCTAAGAAAGGAGAGGGTGGGTGGGCGGGGCTAGTATTTACTAACATGAGACTGGTTTATTGACCATTATTCATGGTATATTATTTTGGGGAGCCATGAAGATTTTTTTGCAAATTATTTAAAAGAATTTTGGACTATTTTTGGAAAATTCTGAGCTAACCTGTTTTTGAATAAATTTTGGGAAGCCGTTTTTTTTTTGAAAAATTTAAAAAAAATCTTGAGGTTCTAGGTATTCCCGTTTGAAAAAAATTTAAAAGTGGTTTAAAGCCTCAAATGTCTTTTCTTATATGTAATAATTTAATTAAATTTCTTAGGATATGTCATTTAAGTCATCTCATTGGTCAGAATCAGTCTTATCTTACCAGGTGCTAGCCCCGCCCACCCACCCTCTTCTATCTTAGAATATGTCTCATCTGCCAAAATCAGTCTTATCCTACCAGGTACTAGCCCCACCCACCCACCCTCTCCTATCTTAGAGTATGCCTCATGTGCCAAAATCAGTCTTATCTTAGCAGGTACTAGCCCCGCCCACCCACCCTCTCTTTTGTCAGAAGGTATTTCATCTGCCAAAATCAGTCCTATCTTAGCAGAGTGGCTAGTCCCGCCCACCTACCCTGTTTTTTTTATTAATCACTCATTTTATTGGACGAAAAGTGGATTTTATGTTCATATATAGTAGAATGTAGAATTTGAATTTCTTTGGTTCATTTTAACTGTAAAAATTTGATTTCAGTCGAATGTGAACAGAAACCACCAAACTAACCTATATAACTATTTCATTGGTTTATTTTATTTATTGTGAAATAAAAATTGAATTACATATATTTTGTGAAGTGGTCAGTCTAATTAAAAAAAGCACCTCATAGTGCCCTTTCGGGAAGCCTTACCGGATTGTCCATTGCCTCCAGAACCTGTTCTGACAAGATGGGGTTCATGGACCAAAACGGCATATATTATTGCGCTCATTTTGACGATATAAAAAAAGTTCCTTTATTGCTGTTCATAATTTCGTTGTGTAGTTCTATTAGCTGCTAAAATAATACTGCTTTTGGCAGATGAAACATCCTCTGAAAAAAAAGAGGGTGGGTGGGCGGGGCTAGTACCTGGTAAGATAAGACTAATTTTGGCAGATGAAACACACTCTGAGAAAAGAGAGGGTGGGTGGGCGGGGCTAGTACTTGTTAAGATAAGACTGATTTTGGCAAATCACATAGTTTCCAAGAAAATAGAGGGTGGGTGGGCGGGGCTACTACTTGTTAAGATAAGACTGATTTTGGCAGATAAGACACCTTCTAAGAAAGGAGAGGGTGGGTGGGCGGGCCTAGTACCTGGTAAGATAACACTGACTTTATCAAATGACATACCCTCTAAGAAAAAAGAGGGAGGATGGGCGGGGCTAGTACCTGCTTAGTAGATAAGGCTGATTTTCGCAAATGATATATCTTCTAAGAAAAGAGAGGGTGGGTGGGCTAATTAGAACCTGCTAAGATAAAACTGATTTTTGCAAATGAGACACCCTCTGAGAATCAGTATTATCTTACCAGGTACTAGCCCCGCCCACCCACCCTCTTTTTTTTCAGAGGATGTCTCATCTGCCAAAATCAGTCTTATCTTACCAGGTCCTAGCCCCGCCCACCCACCCTCTCTTTTCTTAGAGGGTGTCTCATCTGCCAAAATTAGTTTTATCTTAGCAGGTACTAGCCCCGCCCACCCACCCTCTCTTTTCTCAGAAGGAATCTCATCTGCCAAAATAAATCTTATCTTAGCAGAGTGGCTAGCCCCGCCCATCTACCCTGTTTTTTTTAATCACTGATTTTATTGGACGATAAGTGGATTTTATGTTGATAAACAGTAGAACGTAGAAAAAAAAATAAAACTAACCCTCTTGACTTTCTTTGGCTTATTTTACTTACTATGAGACAAAAATTGTATTCTTACTTGGCAATTAAAACAAAAAAAAAAAACTCAAAGTGTTTCATTTTGGCAGATGAAACACCCTCTGAGAAAAGAGAGGATCGGTGGGCGGGGCTAGTACCTGTTTAGATAACGCTTATTTTGGCAAATGACATACCCTCTAAGAAGAGAGAGGATGGGTGGGCGGGCCAATACCTGGTAAGATAAGACTGATTTTGGCAAAAGAGATCCCTCCAAGAAAAGGGAGGGTGGGTGGGCGGGGTTAGTACTTGCGAAGATAAAACTGATTTTGGCAAATGAGACACCCTCCGTGAAAAGAGAGGGTGGGTGGGCGGGGCTAGTACTTAGTAAGATAAGACTGATTTTGCCAATAGAGATCTTTCTAAGAAAAGATGGGGTGGGTGGGCGGGGCTAGCCACTCTGCTAAGATAAGACTGATTTTGGCAGATGAGACACCTTCCGAGAAAAGAGAGGGTGGGTGGGCGGGGCTAGTACCTGCTAAGATAAGATTGATTTTGGCAGATGAGACACCCTCTGGGAAAAAAGAGGGAAGGTAGGCAGGGCTAGTACCTCTGTAGATAAGGGTAATTTTGGCAAATGATATATCCTCTAAGAAAAGAGAGGGTGGGTGGGCTAGTTAGTACCTGCTAAGATAAAACTGTTTTTTGCAAATGAAACACCCTCTGAGAATCAGTCTTATCTTACTAGGTACTAGCCCCGCCCACCCACCCTCTCTTTTCTTTGAGGATGCCTCATCTGCCAAAATCAGTCTTATCTTACCAGGTACTAGCCCCGCCCACCCACCCTCTCTTTTCTCAGAAGGAATTTCATCTGCCATAATCAGTCTTATTTTAGCAGAGTGGCTAGCCCCGCCCATCTACCCTGTTTTTTTTATCACTCATTTTATTGGACGATAAGTGGATTTTATGTTGATAAACAGTAGAACGTATAAAAAATAAAACTAACCCCACTTACTTCCGCTTTTGAATTTGTTTGGGTTATTTTACCTACTCTGAGCCAAATATTGTATACTTACTTGGCAATTAAAATTAAAAAAAAACCCAAAGAGTCTCATTTTGGCAGATGAGACACCCTCTAAGAAAAGAGAGGGTGGGTGGGCGGGGTTAGTACCTGCTAAGATAAAACTGGTTTTGGCAGATGACATATCCTCTGCAAAAATAGGGGGCGGGTGGGGGGGCCTAGTACTTGGAAAGATAAGACTGATTTTTCCAATAGAGATCCCTCTAAGAAAAGAGGGACACTTTCCTAGAAAAGAGAGGGTGGGTGGGCGGGGCTAGTACCTGCTAAGATAAGATTGATTTTGGCAGATGAGATACCCTCTGGGAAAAGAGCGGGTGGGTGGGCAGGGCAGTACCTCCGTAGATAAGGGTGATTTTGGCAAATGATATATCCTCTAAGAAAAGATAGGGTTGGTGGGCGGGGCTAATACCTGTTAAGACTGATTTTGAATAGACGATGGACGCGTGCTAAGATAAGACTGTTTTTTGCAAATGACGTATTCTCTAAGAAATTTTATTAAATTATTAAAAAAAGACACTATAGGCTCCAAAGTACATTCAAACTCCTCCTTTTATTGGTTTTGTATTATTTACTGTGAAATAAAAATTGAATTCTATTTTGTGAAGTGGCCAGTCTATTTAAGAAAAAAAAACACTTCAAAGTGGTACTATATTAGTATAATAATTTTAAATAATATAACGGACGACGCTGTAAACTTGGTTCAATATGACAAACATCTCGAAATATTTTATCCCAACTTAAGTCATGTAACATGTTTGGCTCACGTCTTAAATTTAGTAAATGAGTCATCCGGAATGAATATGAAGCCTTCCGGGAACCTTACCGGATTGTCGTTTGTCTCCAGAACCTACTCTGACAAGTGGGGTTCATGGGTTGAAACGGCAGATATTATCATTTCGACGATATAAAAAAGGTTCGTTTATTTGTTGGTCATAATTTCTTTGCGTAATTCTAAATTAAATTTAGGTCATTATGGAATTTGACCCCACAGTGTCGAAATGCATCGCCGATGCTCAATACTTTTTCGAACAAAAGCATCTCAAACATAATTTGGCTTATACAGGGTGTTATTGAAAGGTACGTACAACAAAATGGACAGTTCTTCGCGAAGTCTAAGAAGTCGGAAAAACTTATTTTGCCTTATCAAAATTTTAAGGGGAAAATTAACCCCTATCCAATCTTTTTAGACGCTACTGAAGGATAAATAGGTAAAATTAATTAATTTTAGTAAATCCTAGCAACTGTAACAATAAAACTTTTGTCAAGACTAAATGTTGCTATAGAAACGAAAGATGATCTTTTTATCAGAGGCGTACAACGAATTTGGACATAAATTTTAATAATTTTTATCTCTAAAAGGAGAACACTTTTACCTGAACTTTTTTTAACTTTTAGCACCCATACTTCGAGACCAATTGCCGATTTTATTTTGTACGTACCTTTCAATAACAGGCTGTATAAGCTAGATAAAAACTCATTTTACCATCTTAAAAACAAGTATAACTAGATTAGAAACCCTAAATCAGTAGAGTAAGTAAAATGACACTTAAAAAGTGTAAGATACCTACTGTACAAAAAATTACGGATACCAAGAGCTTAAACTTGTCAGCAAAGTATTACAAGCCCATCTTAAATCCGCTCTTTAAATTCATTACGTGGATTCGACGCGAGCAAAAACACACCCGCATTACAATTAAAAACGCGGCTCAGGGGGCCGCTCTGTCGCCTCTATCTTTCGCCGTTTTTGCCAGTGATGTGATTAAATCTTCGCCGCTTTGTTCTCCCATCCAACCACGTGTGAAAAAGAACCGCCACCTTGCCGCCTCCTCGTCGGCTTTGCGGCAAATTTGTCCTCTTTCCTATCGAGACTCGCCGGCCGCCGATCCATCATTCCGGTCAATCTCGCGAAATAAAATGACACTTCCCGAATGAAACCGTTCATCGTGACACGAAAATCGATGTCGGGATAATCGCTTTTTAACACTTACCCTGTATTTGGACTGCATCTCCCTGATGAAGCCGTACCTGAAACGGGTCGATCAGTCACCAACGAACTACTTAATCAGATGTCACCCGCACGACTTTACCTCGAATTCATGATGTTGTCCTCGTGGTTGCCTCTATTCAGGAAAACGCCCCCCGGATAGACAAGCATGCACGACAAGAGGACTAGCAGCACTTCAATGCCTCGTTTGCCTCTGTCGACAAAATCTCCATTAAACACGTATGGATTTTCCGGGGACGGTAGGCCGTTCTAAAAACAAGATTTTCATGAGGTGAGCCTCTCATCAATTACGATCCTTCATTGATTTATCAGGTGCCACGCGAAAGCGGGGAACAACGCGTCGAAAGTCGGATGGAGTCGTATTTTTAGACGCGGGGCTGGAATACGAAATTATGATGACGAAAATCGCCGACGGAGGGTTAGTAGTGGATTAGTAGTTTGTGGGGTATTTAATTTGTGAGGGTAATTCCGACTTGACGGTATTGTGCGGGAGCGTTTTGTTCCAAGATAGAATTCCGGGATTCAGAGTGTCCGTCAAACGAAACTTTTATCACTGGAACTTTTTCCGGAACGGGCTTTTTGTAAAACCTGCAAACTACGTCAAAAGCGAACGTAATAATCTCGTCCAGTAGTTGTTTACGTCGACGGACAGAAGACACCGACACGCGACAGACGGCGGGAAAAGTGAAACCCACTTTTTACTTCCCGAGCGTAAGCAAAGGAAGTATTGTAATCGAGTCCGTCGGTCGACTCTCTACTTTTACGTTTTCTCGATCTTTCATGACCCCTAGAAGACGAAGAAATAGGTCTCCCATTTCCGTCTGTCTGTCCGTCTGTCCGTCTGTCCGTCTGTCCGTCTGTCCGTCCGTCTGTCCGTCCGTCTGTCCGTCTGTTGTCCCGGATTTTATTAGACAGATAATCTCCGAAAGTACTCGACCGATTGTTGTGAAATTTTGTACTTATATTAAGAATATCATGTAGATGGTAAAACGCTAACCAAAATTTGTCTAATCATCCCCACCACTAATGCGATGACGTCACTTCAAAATTGTACATAGTAAATGGGTTTTCAATTGTATAAAATAACATAGTCCTACACATGTAGTTTACAACTCTGAATCGACTTTTCACCCGAAACGTCCAGATTTTTGGAAAAAAAATCAAAATTATAAAACAACATTTTGAAATTTAATTTTTAATCTGCTAACCAGAATGCTTTGAAATGTTGCAGATGTTTTAAGGCTATAAAGAGCATCATAAATCTTTAGTCAAAAAATATTTGCTTATCCCCTCCAAAAACTTGATGACGTCAGCTCAAAAGTTTGTGGAATAAATCATATCTAAAATGTACAAAATATGATGAGTCTGTACTTGTGATCTATCACTCCATTCATATTTTTTGGATTTGCATATACAGGGTGACTCAAAAAAATTAATGAATGCGTAAATATATTTTATTGATTTAATCAGGAACTACAAAACCGAATGCTCTGAAATCTTGCAGATGTTTTAAGGTCATAAAGAGCATAATAAATGTTTAGTCAAAATATATTTGCTTATCCCCTCCAAAAACTTGATGACGTCAGCTCGAAAGTTTGCCGAATAAATCATATCTAAAATGTACAAAATATGATCAGTCTGTACTTGTGATCTATCACTCCATTCATATTTTTTGGATTTGCATATACAGGGTGATTCAAGAAAATAAATGAGACCGTCAATTTATTTTACTGATTTACTCAGGAACTACAAAACCGAATGCTTCGAAATCTTGAAGATATTTTAAAATTATCATAAGCATGGTAAATTTTTGATCAAAACGTATTTGGTCGTCCCCCCTAAAAAATTTATGATGTCACCACAAAATTTTGCTGAAAAAATCCTATCTAAAATGTACAAAATATGGTGAGTCTCTTCTTGTGATTTATCATTCCATTCAAATTTTTTCGATTTGCATATACAGGGTGACTCAAAAAAATTAATGAATGCGTAAATTTATTTTATTGATTTAATCAGGAACTACAAAACCGAATGCTTTGAAATCTTGCAAATGTTTTAAGGTTATAAAGAGCATAATAAATTTTCAGTCAAAATATATTTGGTTATCTTCTACAAAAAACTGATGACGTCAGCTCAAAAGTTTGCCGAATAAATCGTATATAAAATGTACAAAATATGATGAGTCTGTACTTGTGATTTATCATTCCATTCATATTTTTGGATTTGCATATGCAGGGTGACTCAAAAAAATTAATGAAGGCGTGAATTTATTTTATCGATTTAATCAGGAATTACAAAACCGAATGCTTTGAAATCTTGGGAATATTTTAAAGTTATTATAAGCATGGTAAACTTTTGTTCAAAATGTATTTGTTCATCCCTCCTAAAAAAATTGATGACGTCACCCTTAAATTTTGCTGAATAAATCCTATCTAAAATGCGAAAAATATGATGAGTTTGTACTTCTGATTTATCATTCCATTCACATTTTTTAGATTTTCTTAAGAGGTGGTTCAAAAAAATTAATGAAGTCAATTTATTTTATTGATTAAATTAAAGGCAACACTTATTATTAGTATTACACCCCAACCAACCCAATTTGGTAGACACAAAATTTGTTAAAGGAAAAACTCGGTTGAAACATAAGGGTAGCACGCTTATTTACATCGACTTTAACATTACAGACCTGCATTTGTTTTATGCGTTCACTTGGTTCCGCGAATGTGAAATAGACATGTTTATAATCAACCAATTGTGAATTTCACCGTCAAGAATTAAAATAAAACCCAATGTTTTATATAATAAGCGGAAGTCGAAGCAATAAAACCGATGGTCGTTTTGTTTACAGTTTCTCTGTTTGACTCTCACGTATGCTGTTACGCCTGTCATCTTAAATTAAGAATGTTTATACATACACGATTTTCAGTTGCCTCTGATACGTAGGTATACGTGAGTAAATTGTTTCGTTATTTTATTGATTATTACAAATCAATATTCAAAACGACCCAATTCATTTTCCCGCAAATTTGAGAGTATAATAATTTTATTCTTAGTATTACACTACATCTATCCCAACTGATATACGTGTCCTTGCAAAAATGTTGATGACGTCATCGCAATTTTTTTTTAAATTCCCACTACAAAAATGTAATGAGAAAAAAAACACAATAGGCATGCAGTCGTCAAGTTTCCGACAGCGAGGGAAGTACTGTCTAAACTCTTTAGACCAATTTTTTTTTGTTTATTTAATAAGGACACCGTGTAAACAAAGCTCTCGTTCACGATTGGCGGATGCGCCGGGTCCGTTTAAATTGGAATTGAAACCCCGTCCCAGGCTCACGAAACCGACTACGTGATCCGCTGCATGTCCCTGCATCGTGCCGCCACCCACTTTGTAATTTAGCCACTTTGTGTAATCGCCCGCTCTTACGCATAACGAAATTAGCGCGCTCCTTTCACTGTCCGTCGCACGTGTTTTTACTCACAATTCGTCGTCCGGCAAATCAAATAACGCGAATTAAAGAAGCTAAACTTCGACAAATCGAGGAGTTCCGTCGAGAGCGGTCGATATTTCATTAGGGGAAAAAATCAAAGCGAACGGGATTACCTTGTGGAAAATGACCAGAAGGTCATCGAGCTTTCCGTGAAGATCGCCGCACACAGTTATCTGCTTGGAGATCGCAGTCGAGGCGAGGTTCAAGTTCGGCAATCTTTTCAGTTTAATAATGGATTCTTTGAGGATCTCGGCCACGTAGCGGGGATGGAGCCGGTAGTGCTGCAACACAAGGCGTGAGAATCGCCCTTAAAGGGAATAATAAACGCGCGATCTTAATTATCGCTAATGCAGGGAGGCGCCGGTGGGAGATAATGGTGGCGAGGTTCGGGGAATGATATTTCGAGAAAGGGTAATGCAAACGTATATAGTAAAGTAAAAACTAATTAATGCACCCAATCAATCGCCAGCTTTCTCACCCTCCTCCGCCTGTAAATCTCTATCAGCTTCTTCAGCTGCTCCTCGTCCAGCGGAAATTCTAGCTTAAATTTGTGGTCCCGTTCGCTGCTATCCAGCAGCTCGTCTTCGCAGTCGTCCGACTCGTCCTCGAACTTCATGTCAAGGTCCTCTTCACCCGGAAACAACAGTTTATTTTAAAGCGTCACGTTGTTTGCCCTGCTAATGCAAATAAGAGCGCCCACACCTACATCCCCGACCTTTAAAGTCACTCACCGATTGACGAATTCCTGGAGGCCGTGGAGGACTCGGACGTCCGATTAGTGGTGTTTGGAATGTGCGTAAGCAGGGCGTTGAAGAAGTTGTAAAGCTGGAAAGGAAAGAGAGATTATTTTTGAAGGCGGAAATTGTGCTTTCGCGTTTGTGCGAAATCCGTTAAAGGTGACAAGATACGGGCTGCTTACGCTAAAACTGGCGCATTCGCGTTTCTAATTAAAATCGATCGCTATGCAGTGAATATAAATGGCGAACAAATGAGGGATGTTTACAGAAATTAGAGGGTTTGTTTTTAGGGAAGTCGAGGTGGGCGAAGGATAACCGTTACGGAGCGCGGCGGAACGCACGAAATTCAAATTAGGAGGATTAGGGGGAATAGCCGGATGTTTCGTGGATTGTTATACGCGTTAAGAACTGAAAAAAGTTGTTTGGGGGGAGATTCAACCGGATTTGGATGCGGAGTATTGGGGTTTCCGGGTTTATTAAACAACTATTAGTATATAACTCCGTGTTGGGGATAAATATAGGTACTCATTTTTTAAATGTATGTATTTATAATCTTTAAACTTTCATTATCGTTACGTTGTTACGTTAACTCAGAACAAGGTAAGTCAGGTCAGGTCAAACCAGGTCACGTTACGTCAGGTCAAGTCAAGTCAAGCTATGTCAAGTCAGGTAAAGCCAGATTGTGTCATGTCGGACTATGTTAGGTCATTTTAAGTCAGCTCCTGTCGGGTTAGACTAAGTCAGGTCATGTTAAGTCAGGTCATGTCAAGTCAGGTCATGTCAAGTCAGGTCATGTCAAGTCAGGTTATGTCAGTCAGGCCATGTTAGGTCAGATCACATTTTTTTGTATAAATAAATCTTACGGAAATGTTTCTCCGTGACCATAAACTCGTTATAATTTTGGAATCAGCCCGTCGAGATATACTGGGTGTCTGGAAAATGGCGGATTAACTCTTCAGTACGTTATGTATGGGGATTTTGGGGGTCCCAAAAAATGATTAAAAAATTCTTTAAGACGTAGATTACGAAAAAAGTGAATATCTTCGGATTATTTAAGTAAGCTCGTAATGTTTCCAAATTTTGATCCTTTTTTCTAAAAGTTAGTCATTAGTATTTGTCAAGATAAAACTGATTTTGGCAAATGACTTACCCTGTAAGAAAAGAGAGGGCGGGTGGGCGGGGCTAGGACTTGCTAAGATACGATCGATTTTGGCAGATGACATAATCTCTAAAAAAAAGGAGGGTGGGTGGGCGGGGCTAGTTCCTGCTAAGATATGACTGACTTTGGCAAATGAGATCTCTCTGAGAAAATAGAGGGCGGGTGGGTGGGGTTAGCACCTGCTAAAATAAGATCGACTTTGGCAGATGACATATTCTCTAATAAAAAGAGGGCGGGTGGGCGGGGTTAGTCCCTGCTAAGATAAGACTGATTTTGGCAAATGAGATATCCTCTAAGAAAAGTGAGGGCGGTTGGGTGAGACTAGATCTCAATGTACAAATCGAAAAAGTACAAATTTTTCGATTTGTACTTTTTCGGTTTTCAATTTTAGATTTTTCAGTTTCTCGACTTTTCAATTTTTCCTTTCTTCAATTTTTAATTTGCAACTCTTATAGTTTTTATTTTAAATATGAAGCTAATAATAATTAAGATTTAAAAAGTATTCACGTTTTCAATTTACGATTTTAGATTTTTTGAACTTTTCGATTCGATTCTTTTTTCCTCTTTCCCGTTTTGCGCGGTTCCTTATCTTTTTTCGATATTTCAGTTTCTCGATTTCTGTTTTTCAGTGTTCCCATTTTTCGTTTCTTCAGTTCTTCGATTTGCAAATTTTCCGCGATTTTTCAGTTCTTCGATTTTTAATTTTTTGATTTTTCAAGTTTCCGAATCACAAAAAAAATTTAAATTGCAAAATTGTAAAATCAAAAATAGAAAAACGAAAAAGTATAAAAGGAAAATTTTGAAAAATCGAAAAAATGAAACATCGTAAAATCGAAATATTGAAAATTAAAGAAATCGGAAAATCCCATAATTCAGGTGTCCAAACATTGTAAAACTGAAAAATTTAAAAGTTGGAAAATCAAGAAACTGAAAAATTTGAGATTCAATGAACGAAGAAGTATAAAATCAAAAGAAAAATTGAAAAAATAAAGGAAAAAGAAAAAACGAAAAATTGTGGTATAAAATCGAGAAAATGAAAATTAACAAAATCTGGAAAATGAAAAATAAATATCAAGAACTTGAAAAAGTGAAGAAACGAAAAATTGAAAAATCGAAAAATGAAAAGTTGAGACTATAATACATCGAAAACTAACATAACAGAACTAGAGACTCTTACACAGTGTAAGTTAAAATTTGAGCTTAAGTTTGCATATAAACTGTTCAATAATCAAATTGATAGTGCCGAATTCTTATCCTTATTTAATTTTAGAGTACCTTTGGTACATACTAGGAACCAGGACACAATCTTATGTTCGTTTAAAAGAACAAATCTCGGTTACAACACTTCTGTAGTAAATAGAATAGGATTGGCGGTTAATAACTTAGTAGATATAGATATCTTCAGTTGCTCGCAACATATGTTTAATAATTATTTAAGACGTTTGTAGTTATTAGGACATCTTATTTCATATTTTGTTTTTTAAAACTATTGTCTATTTTGGAACTTTGTTCTGTTAGTCAATAAAAATTTATTTATATTTATATTATATTATATTAAAACTTAAAAGTTGAGAACCTGAAAAGTCGAAAAATGAAAAATGTAATGATGAACAATTGAAAAATTAAAGATACCAAAAATGGAAAATTTGGAAATCGAGAAATTGAAAAATTGGAAAAATTATAGTTCAATAAACGAAAAACTATAAAACCAGAATAATGGAAAATAGAAAAATTGAAAAATGAAAGAAAATTAAAAAAATGTGAAATTTTCGTCTTTTCAGTTTTTCGATTCTTCGATTTTTCCGATTTCTAAATTTTCGATTTTTTTATTTCCAAACTTTTCAATTCAAAAGAATGGAAAATTGGGATCAATTAGTAAAATTGAAAAATCACAAATGAAAAACGAAACGAAAAATTTTAAAATTGGGAAGTCGAGGAACTGAAAAATCAGAGAATGAAAATTTGAAAAAGTGAATAAACGAAAAACTATAGAATCGAGACATTGAAAAAGTAAAGGAAATGAGAAATGAAAAACCGCTGTAAAATCGAAAAAATGAAAACTAAAAAATCGGAAAATGAAAAATAAAACCAGGAACTTTGGAAAATTGAGAAACTGAAAAATCGAAACATGTAAAATTGTAATATCTAAAAATTGCAGAAGTGAAAAATTGCAAATCTAACAAATGAGGAAACAAAAAACTGAAAAATTAAGTCAAGAAAAAGCAAAATTGATAAATTTAAAGTTGAAAAAACAAAAAATTATGAAACTAGAACGTAGAAAAATGAAAAATGAAATATTGTGATATCCAATAATTGTAAAATCGAAGGAAAAGCGGAAATGAAAAATTAAAAAAATTTGGAAGTCAAGAAATTGAAAAATTGAAAGAATTAAACTTGAAAAATGAAAGAACACGAAGAAAGGAAAATTGTGATATCATAAAAAACTGGTCGAAGGTAAATAAATCCACATTTTTCGAAAAATTGTAAGATTTGATTTTGAAAATTTTATTTCTTAATGATAACCCTTGTACGTTAAAAAAGATATGTGTACGTAAAAAAAAATTCGGGCAAATGGAATGAGTCGCTTTTGATTTAATAATAATTGCAATAAACTACCTCATTCATTAATTTTTTTGAGTTATTCTGTGTAATTTTAAAAATTATGAATACGTTGATAAACCACAAGTATAGAGTCACAATATTTTGCATATTTCAGAGAGGATTTATTAGTCAAAATTTTGAGATGACGTCATCAATTTTTTGGAAAGGGATAAACGGATAAATTTTGATTAACGATTTACTGATTTAATCTGGATGTGAAGGGTGAAAACTCAACACTTATTGCTACACCACAAATGCAGGAGTATCTTATTTTAGAAAAATAAAAACAAAATTTACTATTGTAAATTTTGCAGATGACGTCATCAAATTGTTGGTGGGGATGATTACTTAATTTTTGGTTGGTGTTTTACGATCTACATAATATTCCTAATATACATACAAAATTTGACAACAATCGGTCCAGTAGCTTCGAAGATTAATCCGTCTAATAAAAATCCGGACAGACGGTGCTAAGATAAGACTGATTTTGGTAAATGGGATATCCACCAAGAAAAAAGAGGGTGGGTGGGTGGGGCTAGATCTCAATGTACTGATTTCAAAAATATAGCGTGTTTATGGTCACGAAGCAACATTTTCGGAAGATTCAGTATGAAATGTGAATTTTTGAAAATTTCTAAAAATTGCGATATTTCAATAGTAGATTATGGTAAAACTGTTGGAGTTAGCCAAAAAACAAGGCCAGAAGTGACTTCTGAGGTCCGAATTCTACACAGCAAATGGATTTATTTAAATTTCAAAATAGTCGAAAATTGGTCGAAATTTGCATAGTTTCAAATTTCATTTTTGGAAAGTTTTCACCTTTAATTTTGGGACGCCGATTTTTTTTCGAAAAATTTAAAACAATCTTCAGGTTCTATGTTCTACTAAGATAAGACTGATTTTGGCAAATGCTTTGGAGGCTCTAGTGTCTTTTCGTATAATAATTTAATTAAATTTCTTAGAAGATAAGTCATTTGCCAAAATCAGTCTTATCCCAGCAGGGATTAGCCCCGCCCACCCACCCTCTCTTTTCTCCAACTTTGGCAGATGACATACTTTCCGATAACAAGGAGGGTGGGTGGGCGGGGCTAGTACCTACTAAGATAAGACTGATTTTGGCGAATGTTTTGGAGCCTCTAGTGTCTTTTTGTATAATAATTTAATTAAATTTCTTAGAAGATAAGTCATTTGCCAAAATCAGTCTTATCCTAGCAGGGATTAGCCCTGCCCACCCACCCTCCTTCTTATTCGAAAGTAAGTCATCTGCCAAAATCGATCTTATTTTAGTGGTACTGACCCCACCCACCCGCCCTCTAGTTTCTTACAGA